GGGTTGAGACCGAGACAAGACGAGACTCTGAGAGTCGAGACCGAGACCTGAAGAGACCGAAGACCGAGACCTCCGAGAGTCGAGTCCGAGACAAGAGACCTCGAGAGACCGAGACAAGACCGAGACCTCTCTCGAGAGTCGAGACCGAGACAAGACCGAGACCTCGAGACCCGAGAGAGTCGAGACCGAGACAAGACCGAGACAAGACCGAGACCCTGAGACCGAGACCTCCGAGACCGAGACAAGACCGAGACTCCGAGAGTGTCGAGACCGAGACAAGACCGAGACCTCGAGAGTCGAGAAGACCGAGACAAGACCGAGACCCGAGACAAGACCGAGACCTCCGAGAGTCGAGACCGAGACACAAGACCGAGACCTCTGAGAGTCGAGACCGAGACAAGACCGAGACCTCTGAGAGTCGAGACCGAGACAAGACCGAGATCTCTGAGAGTCGAGACCGAGACAAGACCGAGACCACGGCCCATCAAAACCAAATTAAGACCATCTTTGTCATTTCCTACTTTTATTTCAATTCTTTTGGCAAATTTATAGGACTAAACCAGGACTAAACCAGGTCTAACCCAGACCTAAACCAGGACTGAACCAGGACTAAACCAGGTCTAAACCAGGACTAAACCAGGACTACACTACGACACTCGGTGGCAGAGAACGGGAACTGACAAATTCAGAGTCAAAGGTCGATTTTGAGCTCAGTATTTTTCATGATATTTACTCCCACGATAAAGACGATCTCAAATAAAAAACTAAATGACACGAACACGTTTCTCGTTCTGCTTTTCTAGGACAGTGAAAGCGAAACCTTTGAGCCGCAAAACTCAAGAGCCAAAGTCAGCGGCCATTTTGTCTTTGTCAGCGTTAAGAAATCAGGAAGGAGAAACTTACACGGGCTTAATCCTCGCCAATCCAATCACCGTGTCACCAAACGAGAAACCAGGCCAGACCGGGGCTAAACTCAGGCAGGACTGAACGGGGCCAAACGCAGGCTAATCCAGGCCAGGAATGATTCAGACAAAACTGATCTGAACAAACTGCAGCAGCGCGAGAAGAGAAACACACCGAGGGAGAGGAGCTCTTATTCTGAAAAACTCCTGCGACAAACTGGATTTAATTTGATCAAAGAGAAAATGTGATGTGGGTTTGTAGGACTGGACTAAACCAGGTCTAAACCAGGTCTAAACAAGGACTAAACCAGGACTAAACCAGGACTAAACCAGGTCTAAACCAGGACTAAACCAGGACTAAACCAGGTCTAAACCAGGACTAAACCAGGACTAAAACCAGGACTAAACCAGAACTAAAACAGGATTAAAACCAGGACTAAAACCAGGACTAAACCAGGACTGAACCAGGTCTAAACCACAAATCAAAACATAAATAATTAAATTAAAAAATAAAATGAAAAAAAAAAGAGAGTAATTTGAAAAACGTCTGGATCAAAAATAAAAGTGTTGGTTTGTAGGACTCGACTAAACCAGGTCTGCACCAAAACTTTTTAATTTTTCTTTATATTTGTTGGAATATTCGTGGTCCTGCTCCTGTCCAGAAGAGAGAAAACACTTTTGTCTTGTGTCTCATATTTCACAATCATTTAACTGTGGCGCGTTGGTGGATTATTTATGAAAATCTAATTCTTGTCTGTGTTGCCTTATCAATAAAATTTTTAAAACAAAGAGTCTTTTTTTTTTTTTTTTTTTTACAGGATTATCCAAGAAGAAATGAACCAGGACTAAACCAGGACTAACCAAGGACTAAAACCAGGATCAAACCAGGTCTAAACCAGGACTGACCCAGGACTAAACCAGGAATAAACAGGAACAAACCAGGACTAAACCAGGACTGAACCAGGACTAAACCAGGATTGAACCAAGACTAAAACCAGGATCAAACCAGGACTAAACCAGGACTAAAAACATAAAAAATCATCATAAAATTTTAAAAAGAGTGAGACATTAAATGATACAGAAAAACATAGAATAAAATAAAAATAAATACATGAATAATAATAATAATAATAATAATAAATAATGGAGCTGAGTCATTTTGTTGGATATTCTATCAGCAGATTAAAGCCCTCCACTGGAACTTTCCCAGAGGATGAGGCAGGTGGAAAAGGAAAAAGACTCTCCACAGCGCCACCTTCAGGCCGCACCTGGAGCAGGATTGCCAGGTTTAGTTCTTTAGAGCGACTTTGGGCAACGGTTTTCTGTTCCTCTGTTCTGTTCTGATCTCTGGAGTTTTCTCCTGAGAGGCACTTTCATGTCAAAAAAAAAAAAAAAACTTACAAAAAACAAAAATGTAGAGCTGTAACATTAAAGACAGTAACTCAGTTGGTAAGAGTGTAGGACTGAACCAGGACTGAACCAGGATTGAACCAGGACTAAACCAGGACTAACCAAGGACTAAACCAGGACTGAACCAGGACTGAACCAGGACTGAACCAGGACTAAACCAGGACTGAACCAGGACTGAACCAGGACTAAACCAGGACTAAACCAGGACTGAACCAGGACTGAACCAGGAGAACTTCTACTGAGAGAGACTTTCACGTCAAAAAATAAGGGATTAATAGAAAATGTTTTCAGTTCTGTTACGTCACTTCGTTGTTGTAAAGCGGTTTGAGCCTTGAAGGTGGAAAATTTCTGTATAAAAATGTGACATTTTACCATTTAACTGAAATATCCTGATTCCGAATGAGAAACTTCTTTACTTAAATGCATCGTTTTGTTGCAGCAACATCTAAAACAACTACATAGCCCATGATCCTTTGCTCCATTTCAGTGCAAACAGTATGAAGAAATAATACTTTTCTGTTAATTATTTGGTATATAATAGAGTAATGTCACACCAAAGGCTTTTAAAGTTTGTACAATAATAATAATAATAATAATAATAAAATGAAATATACGGATGTCATGAGTGAGTAGGGTGACCAAATTTTCAGAATAAAAAAACTGGAATATCCCTATTTGTTTTTTTGTTTTTTTAGTGGTTGTTTTTTGGTGGAGTGCGTGATGAAGGAAAACTGTTCTGCACTCGGCTCTACACCAGGCATGTCCAAACTACGGCCTGTGGGCCAAATGCTTGGCCCTCAGGCTTCCAGGAGAACTGGCCCAAATTACCTTACATCAATTAAAAATGAACTTTTTACTGCAAGTTTTTTTTTTAAAAATCTACCTTGATAAAGTGAATATTGAAGATTAAGTGTGTGGTTTTGAGGATTTTAGCGTGAATAAAGACTGATGTCTCCAGTGTTGGGGAGTAACAGATTACATGTACCAGAGTTACGTAATCAGAGTACAAATTATGAGTAACTGTATTCAGTTACAGTTACTGTTTCAGTGAGTGGTAATTGGATTACAGTTACTTTGTTGGAATAAATGGATTACACAGAGGTATTTTCCTGTTTTCACATTTTGGGCTGTATCCTTCTTTTTTTTTTCTTTTTTCCTCGGTAATTCTTCTCATTGCCGGAAACTAACCAGGACTAAACCAGGTCTAAACCAGGACTAAACCAGGACTAAACCAGGACTAAACCAGGACTAAACCAGGTCTAAACCAGGACTAAACAAGGACTAAACCAGGTCTAAACCAGGACTAAACCAGGACTAAACCTAAACCAGGTCTAAACCAGGACTAAACCAGGACTAAACCAGGTCTAAACCAGGACTAAACCAGGACTAAACCAGGTCTAAACCAGACTAAACCAGGTCTAAACCAGGACTAAACCAGGACTAAACCAGGACTAAACCAGGTCTAAACCAGGACTAAACCAGGTCTAAACCAGGTCTAAACCAGGACTAAACCAGGTCTAAACCAGGACTAAACCAGGTCTAAACCAGGACTAAACCAGGTCTAAACCAGGACTAAACCAGGACTAAACCAGGTCTAAACCAGGTCTAAACCAGGAATAAATCAGGACTAAAACAGGATTAAAATGGGATTTAACAGGACTAAATCATGCTGCGTGGACCATGTCTCTTCCTCTTCTATCAATAATATTTTTTATTTGGTTCAGTAAAGTCTGGGCTTTTCATTTTCTTTTATCAGTCAAAACATCTTATGTGAAGATTTCCTCGTCTTTGCTTCTTACATTACTCACTTTAAGTAATTTAATGGATTGAGTTACAAACTACATTTTGGGGTATGTAATCTGTAATCTATAGGGGATTTTAAAAGTCACCTTCCCACACTGGATGACTCATTCTAACGTGTTAAACATGCACATATTTCTATTATTCACTGTACTGAGCTCCCGTCTACAGCCCTCGATCAGCCCTCTGCTTCGTCTGAGTTTAGAAATGTTGCCCTTGATGAAAAAAGTTTGGACACTCCTGCTCTACAGTGATGTGAGTCAGTGTAGTATATTCTATTATTACCACCCTCCCCAAAACAGGGGTGTCCCAGTTTTTGCTTTTGACAATCAGCTCACCCTGGCGTTATGTCACCATGGTAACTGCTGCACATTCCGCCATACACTAGGGGTGTGCAAAAATATTGGAATATCGATATATCGTATCATTTAATGTGAAGATACAGTATCGATATCGTGGGCTACTGTATCGATATATCACCAAGAGTATTTTTTTCGTGTGTTTTACTAAATTATTTTGTTACAGAGCTATAGTTTTGAAAGGACACTCATTTATACAACACATTTGACATTTTCACTGTTTTGATGATTAAAATGTTTGTGTTTCATATGAACTTTACACAAGAAGTGGTTTAACAAAGACTTTTAGTATCACAGACATGATTTAGCCTTAATTTTTTATTGAACCATATCAAATAGATTTGAATATATCAAATCGAATCGAAAGTGCACTGTATCGAGATATGTATCGTATCGTGGCCTGTGTATCGAGGTATGTATCGTATTGGCAACTTCTTAATGATACCCAGCCCTACCATACACATCCATCCAGAACACCCCGAGCGTGATGTCACTGCAAAGTATGAATTTTCAGAGGCTCCTTCGCTGGTTTCTGACAGAACCTGGCAACCCGGAGAGCAGCATGGCGGCGGTCAGGAGCCTGCGAGTGTCCCTCCCGTCCGGCAGCGGCTCCGACCGCTCGGACTCGGACTCGGAGTCGGACCGGGACCCGCGCGAAGCGGAGCCCATGGAGGTGGAGGAGGGCGAGCTGGAGCCGGAGTCGGGGCCGGGGCCGGAGGACGTGTCGGTGAAGCGGTCTCTGAAGGAGCTGCTGCCGGTGAGTAGGCCGCGCAGACCGGGGACTCGCGTGAGCAGCGGCCCGGGGAGGACGCGCTCTGCCCCGGCGCCAGGATGACCCGCGTCCCGTTGTGATCCCGGAGCTCGTAGTGTGTTTGTTTTCCCGTCCCGGCTATGTGAAATGTTGTGTCCGCCAGTGTTGTGTCAGAGTGAGCTCCGGGCGGCGGGCAGGGCTCTCACCGCGGCCCGGGCTCGGGACTTGTTGAGCCGCCGCAGTTTCCCCCCAAACCCGCCTCTGTTTTCACGCCTTTAACTTCATTTCATTAAATACATGCTCAGGTTTAGTTCATAAGTGCAAGACTATGGAGAACTTAAGAGTAGAATGAACAGAATATCAATATAAAAAATTGGGACATTCTGTTTTTTTTTTTTTTTGGTGGTTTATATTAATAAAACTGAAACGAGTGCCTAACTAAGGAAAATTATTCTGCAGACCATTCAGGACTAACATGAGTAGGGCTGGTATCATTTAGAAGTTGCAGAAGCGATACATAGGCCACGATACATACCTCGATACGATGAGCTTACGATTCGATACGATAAATTTCAAATCGATTCAATATAGTTCTATAAAAAATAAACCTTAAATCATGATACTAAAAGTCTTTGTTAAACCACTTCTTGTGCAAAGTTCATCCACCCATTTTCTTCCTCTTATCCGGGGCCGGGTCACGGGGGCAGCGGTCTAAGCAGGGACTCCCAGACTTCCCTCACCCCAGACGTGTCCTCCCTTTCCCAGGCCAGCCCAGAGACATAGTCCCTCCAGCGTGTCCTGGGTCTTCCCTGGGGCCTCCTCCCGGATGCAAAGTTCATATGAAACACACAGTAAGCTGTGCTACTGTGGTTCAGTCCCTGGTTTAGTCCTTGGTTCAGTACCTGTTCCAGTCCCTGTTCTGGTCCCTGTTAAAATGCCTGGTTCCAGTCCCTGGTTTGGTCCCTATTCCAGTCCCTGGTTCAGTCCCTGGTTTCGGTCCTTGTTCTGGTCTCTGGTTCAGTCCCTGTTCTGGTCCCTGTTCTGGTCCCTGTTCTGTTCTGTTCCCTGTTCTGGTCTCTGTTCTGGTCTCTGTTCTGGTCTCTGTTCTGGTCCTGTTCCTGTTCTGGTCTCTGTTCTGGTCTCTGTTCTGGTCTCTGTTCTGGTCTCTGTTCTGTTCTGGTCCTGTTCTGGTCTCTGTTCTGGTCTCTGTTCTGGTCCCTGTTCTGGTCTCTGTTCTGGTCTCTGTTCTGGTCTCTGTTCTGGTCTCTGTTCTGGTCTCTGTTCTGGTCCCTGTTCTGGTCTCTGGTTCAGTCCCTGTTCTGGTCCCTGTTAAAGTGCCTGGTTCCAGACCTGGTTTTGGTCCCTGGTTCAGTCCCTGTTCAAATCCATGGATCCAGTCCCTGGTTTTGTCCCTGTTCTGGTCTCTGGTTCAGTCCCTGTTCTGGTCCCTGTTAAAGTGCCTGGTTCCAGACCTGGTTTTGGTCCCTGGTTCAGTCCCTGTTCAAATCCATGGTTCCAGTCCCTGGTTTTGTCCCTGTTCTGGGCCCTGTTCCGGTCCCTCTTCTGGTCTCTATTCTGTCCGTGGTTCCTGTCCCTGGTCTCAGTCCCTGGTTTCGTTCCCTGGTTTCGTTCCCTGGTTTCGTTCCCTGTTCAGTCCCTGGTCTCAGTCCCTGGTCTCAGTCCCTGGTCTCAGTCCCTGGTTCAGTCCCTATTCTGGTCCCTGTTCCTGTCTCTGTTCCGGTCTCTGTTCTGGTCCCTGGTTCAGTCCCTGGTTAAGACCTTGTTCTAGATAGAAAATGCACCTAAACCAGGACTAAACCAGGGCTAAACTAGAACTAAAACCTGGTCTAAACCAGGACTAAACCAGGACTAAACCAGGACTAAACCAGGACTGACTGCGTCTGACTGAAAGGTTTTTATTTTTCACTCCGCGCTCTTCTCTCTAATTTAACATCTCTCTGTTTTTAATTTTATGATGATTATTTATGTTTTTCGGATTTGTTTTTATTGTGATTTTAATGTGTTTCTTATTCTGTAAAGCACTTTGAATTACTCTGAGTACGAATAAACTTTCCTTGCTTATTCTGTGAAACAAACAAACCAAAGCAATAACATTTCCAACATTTCCAACTTTTGACAAACACCAGAAAAGTTACTACTGTCATTTTAATCTGAGGCCCTCCCCTTCTCCTTTTCCAGAACCGGTTTGAGCATAAATGTGCCTGCACGTTCAGCTGCAAAATTATTCAAATATTCACATTTTGAATCACCGTTTGTTTGTTTTGTTTTTGTTTTTGTTCAGGACACGAGTCGGAGATACGAAAACAAGGCCGGAGCTTTCATCACTGGGATCGATGTCAACTCAAAGGTGCAAAGATTTCAAACTTTATTTTGATTCCGACCTCAAATTAGTGACTAGTGTCGATGCTTTTGCTTTGACAAGTCTAGTCTCAGTTCAGGGGCCTCGTTTAATCCTGATCTGTGTCCTGGTTCGGTTTAAACTCCGGGTTTTGTGGTTTCAGGAGGCAATCGAGAAGAAGGAGAAGAGAGCGCAGCGTTTTCATTTCCAGGCCGAGGAGAGCGCCCCCAGAGGAACGTCTGCCTCGACAAGGACAGCATCAAGAAAGGTACGAAGGAGACTGGGCTAGTCCCTGGTTCAAGTCTGTGGTTTCCGACCTTGGTGCCAGTCCCGGTCCTGGTCCCTTTTGAAATTCCTGGTTCTGGTCCCTGCTTCGGTTCCTGGTTCAGCCCCTGGTTAGGTCCTAGTTCCAGTCCCTGGTTCGGCCCTGTTCAAATCTCTGGTATCAGGCCCGGTTACAGTCCCTGGTTCATTCCTTGGTTCTAGTCTTTGGTTCCGGTCCCTGTTGAAATCCCTGGTTCAGTCCCAGTTCAGTCCCGGTTCCAGTTCTTTGCTCAGTCCTTGGTTTCGGCCCCTGGTTTCGGCCCCTGGTTTTCGGCCCCTGGTTTTGGCCCCTGGTTCAGTCCCTGGTTCAGTCCCTGGTTCTGGTCTTTGGTTCCGGTCCCTGTTCAAATCCCTGGTTTGGTCCCTGTTCGGTCCCTGGGTTAGTCTCTAGTTCAGTTCCTGTTTCAGTCCCTGTTCAAATCCCTGGTTCCAGTCTTTGTTTCCGGTCCCTGGTTCGGGTCCTTGGTCCAGTCCCGGTCCAGTCCCTGGTTCAGTTCTGGTCTTGTTTTGCAGCGATCCCTCAGGTGCGTCTGGAGGCGGTGCACATGTGTGGGGTGGATGACATGAGTACCCAGGACGTGTTCGGGTATTTCAGAGAGTACCCGCCCGCCCACATCGAGTGGATCGACGACACCTCCTGTACGTGACCTCGTTTTATTATTTAAATGTTTTTGACCTCGTTTTATTATTTAAATGTTTTTTTAATAGATGTAAAACAGATGTGACTCTAGTTTGTATCACGGTGTCTGATGGAAATAAACATAAATAAACATTATTATATTTAGCAAAAGTCATTTTCAAACATGACTCTGACTCTCAGGGAAAGACTGAACAGGATAAATGATCATTAATATTCTCTCTAACAGGAGGCACAACTCTGTCTGGAGATCTTTACCCAAGTGAGACTTTAATCTGAGTTTTGTTTGTTTTAACACTATCTGACCATAAAGATTTTAGCTGAAAATACAACAGTCGAGCTGATTTGTGCTGGTTTGAATTTCCTTCAGGATCAATAAAGTATTTATCTAAACCAATCCCTTCAAAATAAAATTAATCACAAAGTAGCAGCTCTTCAGTCACACTCACTTTTTTGTTAAAAATCACCTAAATGAGAACATGGACGCTCGTATTGATCACAAGCTGCAGAAAATGTGTGTGGTCTAAAAATATATATATTTTTTTTAGATTCTCTAGATTAGAATTTTGCATTTGGTTCCATATCTGGACAAAATATTTGGGTCAAAATTTTATGTAAATTGATTCATATTTAGAGGAGATCAAGACACGTGAAAATGGTCCTGTAGCCTAAACTATAACAGAGAACCAAATAAATAAGGCCTATTCCAATAATTTGTCTTTTTCTTCTGCAAACACAAACTGAAAATTGTATAAAAGTTTCCTAGAAAGTCCAGCTCCTCTGTGTCTTTGTTGGCGTCATAATTGATCCTGTTTCTGATCTTCATTCTTTGTTACAGTTAAAATCTTGAATAAGATTCACCTCCTTTCAGCAACATCAGTGAAACTTTCCTGGAACTCAGTTTTATCAGCTTCTCAAAGTCTGCATCTTCAGTCTGCTGCTGAGGACCTGTTGAAAATGTTTTTGGCAGATCAAGAGTTTTGAGAAAAAGTATGATTCTGGTGGAGACAAAATCCCTGATCTGTTCTCTTCATAATCTGCTGGATTAAGGGCTTTGTCACGTCACTTTGGTGGAACCTCTGAACCTTCCTTTTCCATCATATCGTGAATCATCAGCTTCTTCTGTTCTTCTGTCACACTGGAGTCGAAGAATATCAGGACAAACATTTCTTCACTCAAGTACCAAACATGAACCTAACTGAATTTTCACACTGTGACAGCTTCTGAAGGAAAACCAAATACCAAAAAATACCAAAAACACAACATTTCCAGGAAATTTAATACAGCTTGAGCAATCTCTAAAACATCTCTTTTTTATCTTCCAAATTTATTCCTAAATCATCTGTTGGAGCTAAAACAATGCAGGATTCTAATCAAGGTGATCTGAAACTTTATTTTTACTGTGCTTTGATGGACCACCCTAATAGACACACAGGTAGAGCACCTGCAGCGTGACGTCACTGCAAAATACCACAACAATGATAAAAACAATAAAAATTTTTGAGCAGAATGAACTTTTCAACACTAAATAGTAGATATGTCTTTAATATTGTCATTTGGTCTTATATTAGTTCTGATAAAAATGAAGACCATTGTAAATCTGTTCATGAAAAGGCAAATTTTGTCCTGTTAATGTGTTTTCATCCATGGAAACAAGAGGTTAAAACATTTTCCTCAGAGACTTAGACAAACGTTGCTGATCCACAAGGGAAATAATTTGGACACAGAAGCTCACACATCACAGTATAAGAGAACAAAATATAAATGGTGATAATAAATTCTAAATAAGTAGCGAAAAAGAGCAAGAGACACTGGAGAGTCAAACCCAGTTGAGGACAGTCGGGGATATTGTGCTTAGCCTCCTGTCTCTGTCTCTGTCTCCGTCTCTGCAGGTAACGTGGTTTGGTTGGATGAAGACACGTGCATCCGAGCGCTTGTCAACACCAGCCGCATGCCCCGTCCCTCCGACACCGTCCCCGAACCCACGGACCAGACGGGCGCAGAGGACAGCCAATCAGAGAGCAGCAAAGGTACAGGACTCGCTGTAGACCCATAGACCGACCGCGAGTATCAGAGCAACCAATTATGATCGTTCAATGTGTCCCCCCTTCTCACCGGAGAGCAGCAGATACTCGTTTTGCTCGGACCGCAGTTGTTCTGTGTTGTTTTTTTCTTCATCTAAACGCGGATGTGATAGTAAAATGTGTTAATATTTTTTATGCACTATTTTCTTTGTAAGTAATTAGTTAATCATAATTAACGCTTTAATGTCCCGCTCCTATAAAACTTTATACATCTCACGGCATGGTGCAGTTAACTGAAGAGCTCTTAGACTCTTATCTAATTATAAAAATGTCTGTCTACTAGGGCTGTAACGATATCCAAGTCTCACGATACGATATTGTCATGGTTTGAACCTCATGGTACGATATTTATTGTGATATCAAGGGAAAGCTCACGATTAGAGATTGAACAATATCCAAATCTCTCGGTACGATATTTTCACGATACACATTTCAGCCTTGACAAGACTTAAGCCAAAGAACTAAGACTTAAAATTGTTTAGAACTGTTATTTCTTCTTGTCGTCTGCACTGAAATGGAGCAAAGGATCATGGTCTATGTCAGGGGTCGGCAACCCAAAATGTTCAAAGAGCCATATTGGCCCAAAAAACAAAAACTATACCTACCTGGAGCCGCAAAAAATGAAAAGCCTTATATAATAATATGAAGGCAACATAGGCTGTCAGTATATTAGCTGTATAAACCGACTATTAAAATGACTAAGTAGGCTACAAATACAAAATAAGCTTTCATGATTACACAAACCCCTTTTGCGACCCTCTCATACTCGGTGCTCGTTTACATGTACACGGGTACTTTTAGACATTTCCCTTCGTTTGTTCACATCGTTTACATGCAAACGGCGAATTCGCCTCTGAAAAGTAATCTTTCTAAAAACTCCGGCTAGAGTGGAGATTTTGGAAAACTCCAGTTTCACGTTTGCATGTAAACTGAGATAAACGAAGTTTTAGGAGCTGACGCGCTGAAAGTGTGACCGACGTTTACCTGTTGCTTTGACGACGATGATGGAAGTATTAAGAGCAGCAGTCGCATTTCTTCTGATCGTGCATAGAAGCACTCAGAAAACAGCATGTAGAACTTTGTACGCAACTCACCGCACATCAGCTCGGGCAGCAGCGCGCAGCCCCTCAAGACGGGGCTCGGGGTCCAGTGTTGGTCAGATTGTCTGGAGGCTTCATCTTCCATGTCCTGGTTTCAGACAGGGGAGAGCAAGACCAGCGCAAAGGACTGGGTCCGAGTGCTTCAGTGCAGTCATCTGTGCGCTGGTTCCGTGTGGGGAAAGTGAGAATGCGCTGTGGACCACAGGTCTGGGCGGACTACTCTGGTCCTCCACGGTCGACCGTGGCTGGTTCCGAGATGGTGCAGCATCCGGACAGAAGCGTGAATCCCGTTTGGTTTGTTTTATGTTGTTCTAAGCCGCAGGTGTCAAACATATGGCCCGGGGACCAGATCCGGCCCTCCAAGACCTTTAATCTGGCCCTCGACTGATTTTCTACTAAAATATTTTTATTATATTTTCTATTAAAATATTGGTAATTTTCTGTGGTGTTTATCACAGAAGCGTCTCCAGCGTCTCTGTACGTGGCCCCTCCCACCAGAGCAGCACAAATGAAGACTTGTCTCTTTCCAAACGCTCTTAAAGGACGATCGTTTTGACTGTTGACCGTGACACCCTCATCAGAAAAATGTCCAACATGAGAAAAGTGGAGCCGAGTGCAGGATTTTACAACAAAAATGGACTTATTTGCAAACAAGTCCATGTTAAAATATTGTGTTGAAATTGTATTTTTCTTAAAGTTTCAGGTTGTTCATAATATTATAATATTTTGTAAAAGAAAGAGTTAATAAATTTAGAAAGATTTCTGTGATAGATTTGTGTTTCTCTGCACCAATATTTGAACTTATTGTTATTTTTGGGGTTTATATGACATGAGTTTTCTGATTCGGCCCCTCTGGGATCAAAGTAGGTTGGATACGGCCCCCGAACCAAAATGAGTTTGACACCCCTGTTCTAAGCGGTCCGTCCGCGCATGTGTTTTTTTTTCTTTTTTTGGGGAAAGTGCTTCTCAAGTGGAGGCACCGGACACCACCCCCCGCTTCAGCTCATCTATTTATTCTGCTGAAACTCTTTTCATGTCATGTGTTTGCATTTGCACACACAGCTGATGGATCATATCCATGACCAGAGATGAACAAGGGCTCGGAGGTCAGTGATTTTACCACTTCTTTAAGTGGCGGCAGTAGTTCAGTTGGTAGAGCTTTCGCCCACTGATCTGAAGGTTACATAAATGTCACAGGTTGAGCGGTCAGATCCACTAACCCACAGATTGGCAGGTGTGATTCCAGCTCCCACAGATGAATGCTGTCGTTGTGTCCTTGGGCAAGACACTTAACCTGCCTTGCTCCTAGTGTCTGCGTACACTGGTGTGTGAATGTGTGTGTGAATGGGTGAGTGGTTCCTTGTTGTAAAGTGCTTTGAGTGCCTTGAAGGTGGAAAAGCGCTATAGAAAAATGTGACCATTTAACGTATTTGTGGAGATGCAATCCCGCTCACTAATGCATGTTTTTCAAGGTATTTTTGAGTAATCCTTACAACTGTAATGAAATAAATGCTACAGGTTTGAATTTAATCCAGGTGCCACCCAGAGGCTTGGTGTAGTTATGACGGTGCTCGATGGAGGTTTTATGCGGGATGATGTAAATGAGAACTTTTTTGAAAACGATGCTGTGTGCATGATGTTATTTTGGAAAACAGAGGGAGGGAAATACCTTAAAGAAACCATATTAAAACAACAACCAAAAAAATCAATCCTTTTCCATTTTCACTCCTTTTTGAAAAAGCTCCAGGGAGCCACTAGGGGAGTGCTAAAGAGCCGCGGGTTGCCGACCCCTGGTCTATGTAGTTCCCTCCATGATATGATTGTGAGAACTTTGACGATACGATATCACAATACATCGGTCCCTACTGTCTACTAAAATGACTTTATATGTTTAGAAACAAATAAGATCTTTTCTAACCAAGAGGGCGTTTCATTACAAAGCTAATGATGCTCATGCTTGTGTCAGGACGCAGAGGTCAAAGGTCGGATGACGATGAGGAGGAGGATGAAGAGGGGGAGGTGGAGGTGAAGAAGGAGGCGACAGAGACGGCGCCGGAGGGACAGGTGAGAGGTGGACTCTTGTGAACACCAGGGGGCAGCGCTCACTCCGCACAGGGACACGGCTTTAGCTGCATTTAAATGTTACGTTGATTTGGATTTGCTGATACTTTTGCAGTCACATCACTCTGGGGGGGTTTGTGTGTATGTCTGTGGAGGAATGTTCAGCTGTTGCCGTGGTGACACAATGCGTACATTAGCAACAACTGCCAAGAATGATTTAAGATTGTCTGAAAACTCAAAAAAAAAAAAAAATTGATTTAAACTGCAAATTTTAGGTAAATACTTGAGATGGTCTGTAGTTATGATCTGGAATAACAAGAGCAGTATTTTTTTCTCTCTTCCAGTTGCAGGATTTGTCTGGAGCCGAGATGGAGTCTCTGATGAGGAATGACCTTCGACCTGCCCTCAAACCGTTTAAAGGAAACAAACTCCTGCTGCGATTCGCCACACACGGTGAGTCATGTGACGTGCTCAGTCTACAGACCCAGATTAGTCTTTTTTCTAATCTGTGCCATATTTAAGGATGCAGCGATATGGTTTTCCCACGATTCGATACAAATCTCGATACACCAGTCACGATATCGATTTGATTTCGATATGTTTTAAGATGCCCAAAGAAAAAATCTCATGTCATTTTTTCTATTGGTGAGTATAGTATAATAACACTATTATGTTAATGAAACAATACACACAATATAGTACAGAAATTTGCGAAGTGTTTCAGTTCATTTGGTTCAGTGATTCACAGCTCAGAATTTTTATACAGTGAAAATAAGAACAGAATTTCTCAGGCTCCAGTAGAGACAGTACGTTGCGCCTCCCACTCTGCCCCCTACAGTCTGTGACACACTGAGCTCTACCATCCTCTTTGTGGACACTCAAAATATATTATATTACATAGAAATGTCTCAACAGACCATTTTCTGACAAAAACTTATGAGAAAGAGTCTGAGAAAGAGATCACGTATATCCAAGTTGTGTCATGGGTGTGAATATGAAGCCAAAGAGATTCTAAAGTATTTAAAAGTGAATATCTTTGTCATTTCTGGGTCTATCGACATAAAATAAAAAGTGACTGAAAGATAAAATCCTCCTCTGTTAGAATATTTCAGCTGTAAGTCTCTATAGAGCTGTTTTCTGCTGCATCTGAGGAGGATGCCACAGTAACTGTTTCCCTTTCAGACAACAGGAAATGACACAGAGACATGGAGGGTTATGTGTGTATCGACACATGTATTGAACGAACAAGTGTATCCAATCGTGACACCAGTATCGATCGAAAGAAGAACTTCATGTGTTTTTGTTTTGTTTTCAGACGATAAGAAGGAGCCTGGAGCAGCACGACGCAGCAGATACTACATGAAATACGGAAACCCCAACTATGGAGGCATGAAGGGCATCCTCAGCAACTCATGGTACCTCTGCTCTAGTCCTGCTCTAGTCCTGCTCTAGTCCTGCTCTAGTCCTGCTCTAGTCCTGCTCTAGTCCTGCTCTAGTCCTGCTCTAGTCCTGCTTTAGTCCCACTTTTGCTCTCGTTCAGTCCTGTTTGTTCTTTGTGGTCACAGGAAGCGCAGATATCATAACCGTCGGATCCAGAGGGACGTGTTGAAGAGTAAGAAGCCTTTGATCGGGGACAGTCTGGGCCACACGCCCCCGTACCCCCACAGGCACTCGGGTAAGCACAGACTCAGAGGGCACGACACTCACACAGCACTCGTGTCAGTCCCACACTCCCCTTTTCCACCATAGTGTGTTCTGTTGGAATGGGCTGCCCTGTCAAAGTAAGCGACCTTATGCTTTTCCATTTACAGTTGTATAGATCCAATAAAGTCTAACCCCAGTTTTACAACATATTTGTTTGGATTAGAGACGCGGTTTTGATGTTGTTTGCCCACGGTGATCACAATTTCAACTCATTCATATGAATATGTTCGTTTGGACAGTCATGTTCTGCTCAAACAGGTCTCCAACTAAAGGTCGCACGTATCCACAGGACAATTTAATCATCCAATAAAGCTCCCACTATAGAATCACCATTATTTACTCTTGTATATGAATTTGGGCATAGGAGCTCATTTCCACAGGCCGATATCTTCTGTCAAATAAGACTCCCACTATAGAAGAGAAAGAAATGACATGAAATGAAACACTGATGTATTTATATTAAATAGTTTTAAAAATATAATATTTAACATTAATATCACAGGCTACAGTGTGAATTTTCTATTATAATATAGTGATATTTTATTTATACATGGCCACACCGGCTTGTAAAGTCAGGACTTGGATTGGAGACCAGTGGTAATTCCACGTGCCACGGGGGGCGCCAGTGGCAAAAACTGTGGTTGTGTCCTTCGGCACGACACTTCACCCACATTGCCTAGTATGAAAGTGGTGTGTGTGTGAGTGGTGGTGGTGGTCGGAGGGACCGATGGCGCAGATTGGCAGCCTCGCTTCAGTCAGTCTTCCCCAGTTGTAGTTTACCACCACTGAGTGTGGAGTGAAAGGATAATGAACTGTAAAGTGCTTTGGGTATCTTGAAGGTGCCATTTAAATGCAGTGATTAATGAATCAATAATACAGCTCCTTTCTAAACACATGGAAACAAAATGAAATACGATTTAATGAAAATGGTAATGATAAAATCAAATATTAAATCCAAACTATTCAATCATCTGACGTAGTGTTCTGCCATAAATCTAACACGCACATGTCGATGTTTACATGATTAACTGGTCCAAACAGACAATAAAATCAATACACTTTTAAAATGTTACTTGTTATTCCACTCCTGCCTCAGGAGCTCAAATCGACGGCATTTAAACTGGAACAGCCTAGGGGGTTGTTGGGGGCACATGCACAGTAGCTCAAATCGACAGGACACTGGTTTTGTCTCTGAACTGTGTCAGCATTGTTTAATAACCAGCAGTTTTCTTTTGGTTGTGTCTATATTTAAGTTAAGATTCACTTAGTTTTGCCTTCTACATGACTAACATTTAGTTCATCTTAATCATAAAATAAAAACATCATGTTTGATATTCCATACCAGTATTCCATCTTTTTTGAGAGGAAAACTGCAGAGCACTGTTAAGATTTTGCTAAAGGTTTTTAAAACTTTTGATCCCCCACTTTGATCTAGAAAAGTTTGAAAAGTACGACTTGTTCAAAAGCTGTTTTGTTTTTGTTTTTTTTGTGACTGGGACATTTTTCCATTGGACTTTTTCACCTCATCATTTTGTTTTGGTTCTTTCGTAGCTGAGCTGGTGAACCTCCCAGAGGAGCCCATAAAGGAGGAGGAGGAGGACGAGGATGAAGACATGGACTCTGACGACCGCGTGGTGGAGTACAGGGAGAGGGGGGAGAGGGAGGAGAAGGGGGAGAAGGGGGAGAGAGAGAGGGGCGGGAGGGCCACAGCGCACAGCCGAAGCCCCTCCTCTCGCTCCACCTCCGACTCTGACGACATGGACTACGACCTGGAGCTGAAGATGATCTCCACTCCATCTCCCAAGAAGAGCAAGAAGATGACCATGTACGCGGACGAGCTGGACAACCGCCTCAAGAGCATCCGGTGAGGAACTAACAAACATAACCGGGAACCTGACTGTTTACCTGGTTTATGGTTACTGTCTCTGTAGGTGCTGGGTTTGTCCACATAAAACAAAAACAACGTCTCTGTCAGTTTAAATAAACAAAAGTGAAGTTATTTTTTCACAATAGATTTAGAAAGTGGGGCCATTAATCAACCTTAAAGATGTGATTGACTGAAGCATGGTCCAGTGTTAGGGAGGTTACTTTAAAAAACTAGTGCACTTCTTCAAAAAAATATTCCCTTACTCGGTTACCCTCTATGGAAAGTAACTTTTTATGTTACTCTGGTAATTTTTTGGTAGTAACTTCCTTCTAAGACTAAATACAGCACCAGACTGAGAGTCGACAAGAACCGTAAGGGAAAGTTGGAAAGAACTTTGAAGAGAGAGTTCAAGAGAATGTGAAAGCGTTAAGACGTAAATGCTTAGGGTTCGCGCAGAATGCCCGGGGTATTCAACTCAGCGGGCAAGGGACGGGCACTCTGTTTGGGAGGATCCCTGGCCCCTGCTGAGCGCACTGTGTCTGCGTTGGTGCGCCTCTGGGTCAACCTGGAAAGGCTCGAGGTGAAGGTGGCACGACACCCTGACTGTGTTTTAGAGCTCCTCCGCCGTGGGATCAGTGCCCGCTGTGCCCTCTCGAGGATGGGGCCCCTTCTCCCAGCGCGACTGTTGACTGTCAACTGGCCTGCGTACTCATAAAAGTAACATTGCGTTGAATTGAGAAAGAAACGACGCTTTGTCACCAAATTTTCAGTAGTAGCGCGTTACACTATTTTTACTTTTTTAAAGTAGTTACTTTACTGTTACACCCAACACTGGCATGGATTTAAAACTGTAAGATAAAGTTTAATTGTATCATATGCTTGTGATTGTATCCACAAACTTTAACTCTATGGATCGATGGAAACAGATTTTTTTTTAGCTTTCTACTTCATCATTCCCTTATCAGAAACATGCCTGAAGAGTTTTTAGACGTCATCCATGTGTGCTTCAGTGATTTAATGATCTCTCCTGGGCCTTTTTCAAACACTCCTTACAGTTACATAACAAATCTGTATAAATATATAACATCACAATCCTGACGTGATGTGCAGTAGTTTGATTAGCGGGATTTACTCTGAATGTGCTGTGATGTGAATGTGCTCTGAAGGGGGAGCACACAGAGCAGGACACGGGGGTCTCAAAGCATCAAAACCAGAACTAAAACTTACTGTTAATAACAGGTTAAGAGGGGTATTTTTTTTTCTTTGCTTCATAATTGTCTTCTGTATATAAACAGTAAAAATTAAGAAGAAAAACATTTGAATAAGATGGTGCGTTCAAACTTTTGACTGTGTAATTTGTCGTTGTTCATTTGTGTCGTGACTCTTGTGTTGTTTTTGCTGTGGTGTGTTCAGGAACCGTCTGGGTGGAGGAGCTCCTCAGAGGAAGCCCTCGCCTCCACCCAAAGTCACCGATGTGCGACAGCTGCTGGAGGAGAAGAGGCAGGGGCAGCGGAGAGAGCGCCCCCCACAGGCGTCCACGGGGAAGACAGGTGCAGCCACACACCACGTTATTCTAAACACACTGTGCTGATACTTTACAATGACATCAGCTGTAAAGTATCAGTATTTTGTGTAATGTCTTTAAGTGATGCTTTCATTTATTTGGCTTTGTGCTGTTTGCAGCAAACATTTTTAGACACAGTAAACACATTGGTCTTTCTCACCGTCTTTTCCTCATCTTTTGGGAGTCATTTGTTTCATTATCTCCTTCCCTCTTCGGTTTTCTTTTCATCCCTGTTAAATATTTTTCCGTGGTGTTTCTTGAGGGTTTGTGCTCCTGCTCTGTGCTGTGTGTGCGTACGCTTGATACAAAAAACCCCAACACTATACTGCCAACTACTGTAGATGACGCACAATTACACTTTAGTCTATGGCAAAAAAGCATGCTCCCTGAGGTCAGACACGCCCCCTGGCATCGCACCGCTTCATTATTTCCGAAGGACTGGTCTAGAGAGACATGGTCTGTGTCATGTGACCTACGTTACAAGAGAGTCTAAAGAGTGACTAAAGCGTTTTGTTTGTGTCAGATGTTCGCCACCGTTTGGGGAAACGACAGCGCTCCCCCTCCCCCCGCTCGCCGTCGCCCCCACGGGACCCTCCCCCTGAGCGAGAGCCAATCAGAGATGTGCATCGCAGACTGGGCGTGGCCAAGGACAGGAAGACAGGTACAGCCACACGACTATACTGTTTTATTCATTTTTATTTAAGACTGATATTAACATGCAGCCCTGGGAACAGAAACGGCGATTCCAAACTCAGATTTATTGTCAATTTCTTCACATTTACTAGACATACAAAGAAATCGAGATTATGTTTCTCTCTATCTCATGCATAGACAACGACTGGGAGAGCGAGATCCCAGATAAGATCATAGAGAACTAAACGTCCCTGTGTTTCCATGGGGTCTTATTCTGTGTAAAAACATCTCGTGAAATGCCCCTGAGAGAGAACACATTTGTAGACGTCTAAACTACAGGGTTTAGCATTAGGGCCTGACCGATACGGACTTTTTTGTGACGTGATTTAAAAATTCACTGCAAATCTTCAATTGATTATAAAACTGAGGTCTGGCTCCACTGGGTTTTAGATTGGGTTTGTTTACACGACATTTATTGTTGTTCTGCCTCTTTACGTCATATTTTAAGACAGTAGGTCGGCCTAATGGCATTTTTGCATGACATTCTAGCCAGTAAAGAAAGTAAATAAACTACCACTGTCAGCCTTTAGCAGTAAATGGACCGCAGTCATTAATTATATGTGTAAATGAGGATCATCAGAGTAGCCGCGGGGTCTTAAAAGTCTTAAAAAGGTCTTAAAGTTCATGGTCTTAAATTAAGGCCTTAAGAAGTCTTAAATTTTCTTGTCCAAGTCTTATGTTTTTCACAAAGGTCTTAAATTTCATTTGCCTATTTTTTGTAAACTCAATCGTGATGCAATGCAATGTTAAACTGAGGAAAAAATTTAATAAAACGTGAAATCATGTAACGTGAATGAACGTCTAACTAAAAGTATTTTTTGTTATCTAAAGCAATGAGTAATGGTCATCATTAGAATTGGATCTGGTATTTTTCACTCGCAAAGACACCAGATCCAATGTTGATCTTAATTTTCATTTAAGTGGTCTTTAAAAGGTCTTTAAAAAGTCTTAAATTTGGGGTAGTCAAACCTGGGGATACCCTGATCATTCAAACCTCTGTTCACAGCTCATTTATATATCAAGCCACTATAGTCACTTTACAGTCGGCCAATGTAAGAAAACTGGTTGTTTATGTGTGAGACAATGAGATAAAATGAAAAGTAGCTCCAAAACCGACACATTTGCAACACTCAGCGCTCACACAGGCTCCTCTCAGATCACAAGTCTGCACAAATGAGTGTCCTTTCAATAGGGTTAGGGCCGACTCAAAACGGTGGTCAGTAAAAATAATATAATCCAGCATGTTGACAGCAGCTGCGGGTGTAAACAAGAGCATGAGAGTGACGTGACTCTGGGGGTGCCTTCAGGGGCAGTACAGCGTCGCACACAGACAAATTACTCTGGAGATAAATAGTGATGCGACGTCACATATTAGGACATTTATCTGTCTGTAAATTGGAATAAATGGATATAAAATGGAGTCTAAGCTTCATATAGGTATAACAAGTGCCCATATCGGCCAATAATATCATCCACCCGATATATCGGTCTGGCCCTAGTTAAGCATTTTTCTGTAATCCAAATGTTAGAATGCTACAGGGTTGGTAACATTTTTTATTTTAATAACTTATATAATTGCGTTCATTGCAAATTGCAAACCTTCAGAATGTGATTTTTTGATTTGACCGCTATATATCTTGTTTCACAGGATTCTTTGATTAGTTTAAAGTACAGATTTTAGTCTTTTTTATGTGAATGCTCGTGAGTGGGTTTAAATTGTGTCAACGAAATCTGGATTTGAAAAGCTAAAACTTTAAATCACTGTAAAAACAAACCACATGTGTTCATTGATAAACGTGCAAGTCTTTCCTCATTTCAGGAGGTTTGTGGAGCCGTTTGGGTTCATCGGATGACGATTCTGCCCCGGTCCGTCGTGCCGCCTTCTCCACATCCACCAGGGCGGCGACAGAGAGGCACAAACCGCGAGCGCACAGACGGGACACAGAGGAGGAGGACGAAGAGGAGGAGCAGGAAGAGGACTCACAGCTGCAGCGTGTTTGGGGCGCCATGATCAAAAAGAAACAATCCAGTCACAAAAACGTCAAAAAGAGTCGCCTGGACAACCTACCGTCGCTCCAGATCGAGATCAGCCGCGACTCCACAGACGAGTCGGACAACTGACCCGAAAACCAGGCAGAGGGTTCCCCCGAAAACCAGGCAGAGAGTTCCCCCGAAAACTAGGCAGAGAGTTCCCCCGAAAACCAGGCAGAGAGTTCCCCCGAAAACCAGGCAGAGAGTTCCCCCGAAAACCAGGCAGAGAGTTCCCCCGAAAACCAGGCAGAGAGTTCCCCCGAAAACTAGGCAGAGAGTTCCCCCGAAATCAGAAAGAGAGTTCCCCCAAAATCAGCAAAAGAGATCACCAAAAAGTACTTGAAAGGCCACCACACACTACAAGAGAATTTTCCGGATTTTGACTGCGATTTGCTTCTTCCTGAGTTCAGGGAGGCGTAACCTGACTTTGTGTCTGTATGTGATTTTGCAGCAACCACCAAACATCAGCGACGCTTCGGTAACAGCCAATAAAACAGAGCGTCAGGGGCGGAGGAGTGACGGACACAGAAACGCAAGATAATAATCTCGTAAAGTTGTAAATTAAAACATCTCTAACATCTCTAAAGCATCTCATCCACATTATCCATAGAATTTGTCCTGTGCGAATAATGACCCCAGTCGACAAAACTGCACTGTGAATCCAGTTTGAGGAGTTCTTTAAAAGTAAAAAGGTGGGAGTAGTTCCTCACGTGTTTGTTTACATCCACACAGCACACGGATCGAGGTGAAGCTGCAGATTAACGATACTAACTCAACTTCCTGTGAACCTTATCGCCTCTTTTATGCTTTAAAAATCATGTACATGAAGTTTTACACCACATTTCACAAATAATAACACAGTTTTGACTCGTGTCTAAACTAATAGTGCAGAGCTCTGATCTTTTGAACACGTAAGCGTCTCAAAGTGAGTGGTTTTATTGTAGATAGGAAACAACAGATGAAATTGCGCTCTTAACTTTATACCTTGTGGTTCTCAGATATATCTCGCTGCAGTCTTTGCGTTCAGAGATTTCAAAATCCTGGAAAAGTCGTGGAATTTCAGTATCTTTTTCACGCAGCTCCAGTGTTCTGTTAAGTTCTCATTGGACTATTATTATTATTTTCAAACATCTGTGCCTTTTGTTTAAAAGAGACGACAATAAATGCACTGACAGGATTTTAAATGTTAAAAAACTATAATCCCAAACCTTGAGGTGAGAGGAAAGAGTTAACATTTCATATTTAGCCTTAAAAGTTGCTCAATTCTACACACGTAAGTGCCGTAAAATCATGGAAAATTCACTTTAGGTCATGAAAAGTTTTGAAATTCTGTCAAACTCATAAAATTCTCCTTGTGTCTGTGGCGTGCGCTTTTTGTCACATGTTTAAGAGTCATTCAAGACTGAAAAATCCTGTAGTGTGTGGCGGCCTTAAAGCAGAGATGTCCAAAGTCAGACCTTCTAGTGAATTGGACCAGAAAATTAAAAGCTGACCTAAAATAAATGAACAGACATTCCATAGAAGAGCCGCTGTTGCAGGTGCCATGTTGCAGGTGCCACATCGGATGACATTCTGATTTTAGCACACATGAATGGGCTGGTGAACTTAAAGAAATGTTCAGCACTAGAGCCCAGGGACCCGCACTTACCGTATTTTTTGGACTATAAGTCGCACCAGCCAAAAAATGTGGAATGGAGAAGAAAAAAACATATATAAGTTGTACTTTTTGGGTGAAATTTGTTGTATAAAATCAGAGACCAGAAACTGACATTTCCTGTGTAAAGTCAAGTTGTAGTAAAAACAATAGAAGAGAGAACAACAGACTGTTAACGTCACATATGAACAGTTCTTCAGATAAACTATAACATAAACAACAGAACAAGTTTAACAAACTCTCCATCTCACTCCAAATCACAAAATCCATTCAATTCTTCATCCTCTGTGTCACTTCTGAACAACTCCTCGACCTCTGGAGGTAAACAGAGCGTCGCTTCCTCTTCTGTGTCGCTGTCGTCAGACTCGGCATCAGTTCCAGGTAGAATTATTGGGGCCTTTCTGAATCCCGACAGGATGGTTTCTGTGTCACTGAAGTCCAGACTTTGTCCATCCATCCAGTGACTTCAGAAAAGTTTCATGATGCATCCTCCCAGTTGCCGTGAAGCTGTGTTCTCCATCCCCGCTTTCCTCCAGTCTTTCACAAGTTTCTCACTCACTTCAAACTTTCTTTCTGCTGCTCGATTACTGTTTTCGGCTGCAGATTTCACGACTTGCAGCAGGACAGAGGCTCTTTCCACAGTAGAGCCAAGTGACAGTGGTACAGGAGGAACTGGAGCAGCAGATACTGACACACAAGACTAGAACCTCTCGACACTTCACTGAGAACATTTTAATATATAAGTCTGACTGGAAACACCCAAACCATGAAAAAAGTGCAACTTATAGTCCGAAAAATACAGTAATTCAGATTTTAGAAACGGGTCTGAGACAATGTGGTCACAGTATCCGAAACATCAATTTAGCGCGACAAGAACAGGGTTTGGCTGTGGACGCCAGGTTGGACAGTGAAGAGAAATGTCGATTCAACATTGTGGAAAGGAGTTTAAACCCAGTGACAGTTGCATTTATGAAGTAACTACATTTTTATTTTGAGTCATACTTCATTCCATATATTTGAAGCAATGTGTGTAAAACTGAGCTTTTAATAATTCTTGTAAAAACTGATGCCAAAATCCAGCTTCGAGGAAAACGTACGAGAAGTTACTGATGCCGTTTTGACTCGCCACCCTCAAAATGTGTTAATTTCAAACCGCATTTAGCAATCGTGGGCTCTGCTTTACACTTTTGCGTGACAATCTATGAAATTTGGAAGGTCCTTCACTGATTATACCCAAATGTGTTTAACAAAAGCTCCTTAAATCATCCTGCTTTCTGATTGGTGGACAAGGCTTGAGTTCTGGTTTCTGATTGGTGGAGCGCTCACCCCTGAAGACACTGTGGACCAATCCGCTCTCTGTTTGGGAAAAACTCTGGACTGATCCTGGTTTAGGCTGAAACGAACTTTTGTGACGAGAATCAGAAAACATGAATTTGCATCTCCACTTTGTAAATAAAAACGTTTTTTGTTTGATATTTGTTTTGTAAGTTTTTATTTTTTACCCACGCAGCAGCAGCAGCTCAGTTGGAGAGTTTGTCCACTGATCCGAAGGTTTGTGGTTCGAATCCCGCTCTCGACATAAACATCACTGGTTGAATGTTGGTGGCTCCCACAGATGAATGCTGCCGTTGTGTCCTTGGGCAAGACACTTAACCCACCTCTCCCTCAGTGTCTGTGTGCACTGGTGTATAGGCGAGTTTCAGCTGACGTCATTGTTATTAAAAGCCCGCGTTGCATGCTGGGAAATATTTTGGTCGGAGCCAAGAAACAGGATAGTGGTCAAACACAGTGCGTAACCTCGTGTATTTATCCCTGATAATGGTCAATTCCTGCTGCATTTTCAGATGCACAAATAGAAGCACGGAAGAAGGAAAATGTCTTTTTCGTATTCTGAGTGAAAAGAACTGCTAACGGTGAATTAAACGACTTTCAAACATCTGCAGAGCAAACGTAGAAGATCCTAACAAACCGTGGACTCCAACAAGTTCAACAACACATCAAGACTCTTGGAGGTTTTCATCTTTTCTGCTGTGAATGGCCCAGGAGTTTCCACCAAGTCATTGTGGATGTCGCCCAAGTGAATATTTGTCCAGGTAGTTGGTGATTCTGACCAGAAATTTGGTTTGGTCCAGGCTCTGTCGGGGTTGAAAAGGGTGATTTGGCTCCGTCGATGCTTATGACCAATTTCTGGTCAAATGGTCTTGGGTCCTCTGCTGTTAGAGTGGATAAATAACCAGGATCAATACCCTTTACGTGCTTTCTCGCTCCGTCCGTCATGTTGAATTAATGTTTACTGCCGCCGACCAAAATAATTCCCAGCATGCAACGCGCGCTTTTGTCAACAATGAAACTCGCCTATAAATGTGTGTGTGAATGAGTGAGAGGTTTGTTGTTTTAAAGTGCTTTGAGGCTTGAAGGTGGAAAAATGCTGTATAAAAATGTGATCATTTACATCAGGGGTGTCAGACTCAGTTTGGTCCGGGGGTCGTATCCAGCCGACTTTGATCCCAAAGGGCCCAGATCAGAAAACTCACTGCATATAAACCCCAAAAATAACACTAAGGTCAAATGCAGAGAAACGAAAATTAACAAATCAAATATTTTACAGAAAAATCTTTTTTAACGGTCATGAAATGGAAAAGTCTTTGTTGATGGTTCACGCAACTCCAGATTTCTCATTGGACTATTCTGATTATTTCTGAATGTCTGCCATTTTGTTTAAAAGAGATGACAGTAAATGCTCTGACAGGATTTTGAATGTTAAAAAACTATAATCCCAAACCATAAAGTGAGTGGAAAGAGTTAACATTTCATATTTAGACCTAAAAATATGATCAATTCTACACATCTAGGTCATGAAAAAGTGTTGGAAATTTTTGAAATTTTGTCAGTGAAAAGGAGTGAGACCCCTGTATTTACCATTGATCCCAAATTCAAATGCAATGCTGTTGTTTCAAATATTTTAATGGTATTAAAGCTGCAAACCATGTAGACCCCCCCTCCTTTTACAGTCCTTTTTCACCATAAAAGGACAGAACACCTGCTCTTTACACATGTTCCCGGGGGTGTTATTTTGGAAAGCTTCACTTCCTCTCAGGCATGCGCTTCAAACGGCGAAGGGTAAGTTTGGTTTTGGTTTAAATTAGACAAAGTTATTAGAGATTTTAATTTTTTTTTTTAATCAACACATGAAATCATTAATATGTAGCCAACCATTTTACACAGAGCTGATCTATTTCACCATAAAAGGACGACACCCCTTTATTTACCTAAACATGAGCTCGTAATGATGTCCAGTCTCTCTGTACAATATTTCCACAATATCCATCTCACGGTACGATGTTTATTGCACTATTTTGTGGACGTTAACAAAATCGTAAATATGCCTTGACAAGTGTTTTGTTTGGTCATAATCAAAAGAATTTAAATTTAAAAGTGCTTAATAACGCTCTAAATATGCACATATTGTATTGTTTAATTTATAATATCGGTCTCATGGGCTTCTGTATATCGAGTATTTTTTGTGTATATTTTACCAAATTATTCTGTGCTGCAATTTTCTTGCTTCTTTAGAGGAAGGAAACTTCCATTTACATTTGATATATTCACTGTTTTGATGATTAAAATAGGTGTGTTCATATTAACCTCCTGGTCTTCCTCATGCCGTCGCTGTATCGGATCGTTGTGGTGAAGAAGGAGCTGAGCCGAAAAGAAAAGCTGTCGGTTTACAGTCAGTCTTCATTCCTCCCCTCACCTCTGGTCATGAGCTCTGGGTAGTGACCAAAAGGACGAGATCGTAAATACAAGCGGCCAAAATGAGTTTCTTCCGCAGGGTGGCTGGGCGCTCCCTTAGAGATAGAGTGAGGAGCTCGGAGTAGAGCCGCTGCTCCTCCACGTCGAGAGGAGCAGCTGAGGCTCGGGCATCTGTTCTGGATGCCTCCTGGACGCCTTCCTCAGTAGGTGCTCTGGGCATATGTTGGATTCTTTTTTCAGACCAAGAGTTTGTTTTCATACCTGACAGTTTCGACTGCTCCCTGCGCTCTTCCTCAGAGTCACGTGATGTTGCTGTGACGTGTCTGGCCGGCTGATTTATACAGGTTTTGGGCGCTGTCTTCCTACTGGTGGAGGCAGGATTGTTCTGGGCATGTCCCACTGAAAGGAGGCCCCAGATCAGACCCAGGACACGCTGGAGGGACTATGTCTCTGGGCTGGCCTGGGAACACCTTGGGGTCCCCCTGGAGGAGCTGGAGGAAGTGTCTGGGGTTAGGGAGTCTGGGAGTCCCTGCTTAGGCCGCTCCCCCTACAACCCGGCCCCAGATAAGCAGAAGAAAATGGATGGATGTTCATACAAAGTTTGCATGTTGAGCTTGTTTTACAGATAAATATGCAATGACCGATGCAACTGGTTGATGACTTCTAGTTAATAACACGCACTAAACAAAATGCACTTTATTGGTCATTATTTTTCAATAAATGGAAGATAAATGCACCAGTAATGTTTTTTTTTTTTTGAAAATGAGTTTGATCAGCAAGGGGCCCGGCTTTTTTTTCTTTACTGAACCGTATCAAATCGATTTGAGTTGTGTAGAATCAAACGTGCACTGGATCGAGGTTTGTATAGTATCGGCAACTTCTTAATGAGCCCCAGCCGTATTTCTTGGTTCTTTATGTTTTTGATGTGGATATAACTAAACAGTATAGATCAGGCTACTCAATCCACTTCTAGAGTGTTATCTGTGTTTTGTTGCAGTAGTAGTAGTATTTGTAGTATTTGTGTAGTGTTTATTGTTATTTGAGTCCTATGTGGCAGCAGAGGTGCAGTATCAGCGTGCCACGGATCGCCTGGTCTCTGAGTCCGTACACGAGGACGCTCAGACACTTGGGCAGAATGATGAGAAAAATGTAGAGCACAGACTGAATCCGCGCGAACACGAGGCGCGGCAGAGTGCGGTACAGCGCCATCATCAGGGAGTCGTGGACTGTGGACGCGACCATCAGGCTGAGCTGGAACAGGTGCAGCAGGAGAGTGGTGCGAGCTTTGCGCGCAGACGCCTGCAAGAAACCAGACCACACACTTTTTATTAGTGTTTTTAATAAAAGAGAAATGAATTATTACTTACTTAACAATGGACATTCCTCTTTGAGCAGGGATTATCTGGCCTTAAGAAAAAAATCTTAAACTGACTGTCTTCAAAGGTGACTCAAATAAAATATTAGTGTTGAAGTCAAGACCGCATTAATCGAGACCAAGACCTGTCCGAGACCACAGGGTCCAGAGACAAGACCAAGATCTCTGAGGTTCAAGATTGAGACAAGACTGAGTCCAAGTGCTTTCAAGACCGAGACGAGACAGAATCCAAGTGCCTTCAAGACAAAAATGAGACTGAATCCAATCACCTTCAAGACCGAGACAAGACCGAGTCCAAGCGCCTTCAAGACCGAGATGAGACCGAGTCCAAGCACCTTCAGGATTGAGACGAGACTGAGTCCAATCACCTTCAAGACCGAGACAAGACCGAGTCCAAGCACTTTCAAGACCGAGACGAGACTGAGTCCAGGCACCTTCAAGACAAAGATAAGTCAGATTCCAAAGGCCTTCAAGACCGAGACGAGACTGAGTTCAAATGCCTTCAAGACCGAGACAAGACTGAGTCCAAGCACCTTCAAGATTGAGACAAGACCAAGGCTAAGCACCTTCAAGATTGAGATGAGACTGAGTTCCAAGCACCTTCAAGATTGAGACAAGACCAAGGCTAAGCACCTTCAAGATTGAGATGAGACTGAGTCCAGTTGCCTTCAAGACAAAGACGAGACCGAGTCCAATCGCCTTCAAGACCGAGACAAGACGGAGTCCAAGCACTTTCAAGACCGAGACGAGACTGAATCCAGTCGCCTTCAAGGCTGAGACAAGACCGAGTCCAAGCACCTTAAAGACAAAGACAAGATCGAGTCCAATCGCCTTCAAGACCGAGAGGAGACCGAGTCTAAGCACCCTCAAGATTGAGACAAGACCGAGTCCAGGTACCTTCAAGATTGAAACAGGACTGAGTCCATATGCAGTTGAGTCTGAGACGAGATCCAAGGTCAAGACGGCAAAAAATCGGTCTCGAGGCCTGTCCTGAGATGTCTCGAGTACTACAACACTATAAAATATATCGTTATTATTAAATACCTTGAAACAAATAGGTTGATGGGAGGGCATCTGACACATAGGGGTTTGAGGTTGGTCACCTGGTCAGTGGAGAGGGAGCGCGCCGCCCTCATCACAGCACCGTAGGATCCAGCGATGGAGAGGAACGCCGCGAGGAAGAGGGAGTAGAGCAGCGCCTCGTCAAAGAGTCTGGACTGAGCGGTCGGGTAGAGCACCAGACTGCTACATGTCTGCAACATCTGCGGCGAGAGAGGGTCACATGACACTGACGCACAAGGCTCACGAGACGTCACAAGATCCTAAACTGTCTCAGAGTCCTGCATGGGTCTATTTTTGGAGACCTGCACCCGCCCGTTAACCTGTGATTATATTAAAGTTAAACCTGCACCCGCCCGGACTCGTTGAAATTCCACCCGTTACCTGATAAACCACGTACAAATTAAAAACATTCTAAATGAAGCATCCAGAATACGAATTGAAAAGTTAGGGCTTCAAGGATTACAATCACAAAATGAAATAAAATGGTTACTCTTTCTTCAGTATTAATACGCATACACAGACACGACTCGACTGTCAAAAATACATCATCAGCACTAAACCAGGACTGAATTAGAACTAAAACAAGACCAAACCAGGACTAGACCAGAACTGAACCAGGACTCACTGTTGGGACGGGCCTGGAGGTGCGTCTGTGTAGACTGTCGGGTGACCACGGGCAAAAGGAGCGGCCCGCAGAGGTCCGCGCCCCATGGAGGTAAACGCAGCTGTCGCCCGATTGCGCTTTGCAGACACCCTGCTCCTCGGGAAGATCAGTCCTGGTTTAGACCTGGTTTAGACCTGGTGTAGTCCTGGTTTAGTCCTGACCTGCCCGTGTGTAATTACTACCCACTCATAAAATTTCAGAACTTTAAAACCCACCTGTTTCAGCAGCTATTTATCCATACCCGTCAGGTACCTGATGCAGAACTCTGATCTGTTCTGTAGTTCAACATGTCAGATGAGTTCTATGAAAGACCATTTCACTATCAAATCCGCATTACCGTATTTTTTGGACTAGAAGTCACACTTTTTTCATGGTTTGGATGGTCCTGCGACTTATATACTAAAATTTTCACAATGAAGCGGTGAGAGGCTCTAGTCTTGTGTGTGAGTATCTGCTGCTCCTGTTCCTCCTGTACCACTGTCACTTCACTCTACTGCACATGTCTCCTGCAGAAAGAGCCTCTGTCCTGCTGCAAGTCATGAAATCTGCAGCCGAAAACGATAATCGAGCAGCAGAAAGAAAGTTTGGAGTGAGAGAGAAACTTGTGACACTGGGAGGATGCACCATGAAACTTTCCTGAAGTCACTGGATGGACAAAGTCTGGACTTCAGTGACATAGAAACCATCCTGTCGGGATTCAGAAAGACCTGAATAATTCTAACTGGAACTGATGCTGAGTCTGACGACAGCGACACAGAAGAGGAAGCGGTGCTCTGTTTACCTCATGGATCTATAATTTACCTGCTGAGGTCGCAAAGTTGCTCAGAAGTGACACCAAGGATGAAGAATTGAATGGATTTAGTGATTTGGAGGGAGATGGAGAGTTTGTAAAACTTGTTCTGTTGTTTATGTTACAGTTTATCTGCAAACTGTTCATATGTGACATTAACAGTCTGTTGTTCTCTCTTCTATTGTTTTTACTACAACTTGACTTTCAGCAGGAAATGTCTGCTCCTGCTCTCTAATTTTATAAAATAAATTTCCCCCAAAAAGTGCGACTTATATATGTTTTTTTCTTCTTCATTACGCATTTTTTGGCTGGTGCAACTTATACTCCGGAGCGACTTATAGTTCGAAAAATACGGTAATCATTAGGCTTATCCACATGAAACAAAAAGCACGCACCTGTGGTCTTAGGGCGGACAGGACGGACGGCGGCAGCATGTAGCCCAGCCGCACCAGGATCATGATGAAGGTGAAGGCCCAGGCGGCGAGACAGGCACCGACGCTGTTCCGGGGCGTGGCTATGGCGGCGTGTCGCAGCGGCAGACACACGGCCACGAAACGCTCCAGCGACATCAGCACCAGCATGAGCGGCGAGAAGTCATGCGAGGCGTGAGTCATCAGCACCAGCAGGGCGCACAGGGGGAGGGACAGGAGCAGCTGCACGTAGGCCAGGACGAACAGAACCTGCATCAGGATCATCTGCAGGGTGTCGGCGAAGAGCAGGTGGAACAGCAGCACGTGACGGGACGCCTCACGGAACACGGCGCGGGAACGGAGAGTGTAGAGCATCATCAGGTTCACCCAGAGGAACACGAGGCAGAGCAGGCAGACCACGAAACCGGCGAGGGCGCGTTCCAACACCGACCTGGACTGTGCCGAAGAAGAAGCGTTCTGCATCATCACAAACGAAGGTCCAGTTCTTCTTCTTCTTCCCACTTAACTCTTTACATCGCGCTCCTGTCCATGAGCAAGAACCTCTCTGCACATTCAACTAACTTGATTGTTTTTAAGTTTACACCTCAAATATACAGTAACGTAACTTAACTGGACAGAGAGAAGAAAGGGTACCTCAAGGTTTGGCGTTCAATTCCTTCTTTTTTCCTTAACCAAGAACCTCTCGCTTCCCAAATATGGATTAATTTGTGAAGCAACAACGTCGAGCACAGTTTTATCGCAGCATTAACATCACATATTTAATGTTTTAACAGTTGTGTAGAAAGTCTCAAAGCCCTTACTGCAATTACTAAACCCCAAATTCCAAATATTCAGATTTTACATTAATTTCAGTGCGACCTTGCCCTGGTTTAGACAAGAACTGTCACAAGATACAACAAGATACAAGACTGAGAAAAGTCACACAGACCTTTTCCGAATAATTTTAAGTACTATTGTCGTAATCTATATCAGAACTTTAAGAAAACCAATGGGTAAAATCAAACAAACTAGTATTTAATGTTTACAGTTTCCTTAAATTGTCTGTAAAGGCATGTTTTTAAAAATTTAGTTTGAAATGTTTGTTTTGTGACAGCACTAGTTTAGACTCGGTTCAGATTCAGTTAAGTCCTGGTTTAGTCCCATTTTAGTCCTTGTATTATTTGGGGAAGAAAAAAAAAAAGAAAGCATTGCAACATTTTAAATCCAAGTGCAAGTAACATTATTTTCTCAACTTTATTGCTAATCAAAATGATCCCAACAGAAACGTGACTTTAGTAGAGGTTTAAGTATCGGACAAATGTGAAAGAACTTTACAAAAACCCGCTTTATACTCTTACATTTTCCTATTCAAATCTTTAAATATGGTTTTCTATAATCATGGAAATTCTGGAAAAGTCAAGAAACTTTGTAAATTCAATGAAAATTTTGGAAAAGTCATTGAGTTTTAGTATCTCTTTCACACAACTACAGCATTCTGTCAGGTTCTCATTAGTTTTTGTTTAAAAGAGACAACAATAAATGCACTGACAGGATTTAGAATGTAAAAAAATTATAATCCCAAACCATAAGGTGAGTGGAAAGAGAATTCTACACATGTAGGTGATGGAAAATTCACTTTAGGTAATGAAAAAGTCATGGAAAAGTTTTGAAATGTCAGTAAAAAAGAGCGGGAACCTTTCATACAGTCTCAATAATAATCTGTTATCTCCATTTAGTCCTGATCAAATTCTGGTTCAGTCCTGATATACTCCTTATTAATATTTCTCGCAAAGTCCTTGTTAAGTCTTATTTAACTCTCTGTAGTTTTCTCACAAACGTAACAAACTTTTTTTTTAAACTAGGAAAGACCAAAGTTAGTCTGGGACCAAAACCACGAGTCTTATTTAAACTGATTCAAAAAATACATTGATTACAAAATATATTTTAAAAAACGACAATATTGCACTTATTTTGGATTCTGCCCAAGCGTAAAGTCAGATTGAAAAGAAAGGCTCTATACAAAATCAAGACATCATCGAAACAATGAACAGATTCAACAACAGATAAACGAGACCCTGAGCCCTCAGCTAAGAGAACCCACCCCGGAGTACCCGACCTAAGCCCAAGGAGACACCTTTAAACGAGTCCGGTCATGTGAACGCTCATGTGATCATGTGATCTGAATACAACGGTGAAGTCACTACAACACTGAAGTTATTTACCAGTTACGGTTTTATACGTAGCTTTTACTTGTGAAAATTGTAATGTTATTATCAGCTTTTTGTGTTTTTTTTTTCTTTTTTTTCTTTTTTGAATGAATATGAATATGAATATAGCACAACTCCAGTGGACCATCTGCATATTGTTGATTGGACACCACCGCTTTAACATTTTGACAATCTATGGCCCAGGGTCCAAACCACCTGCCGTATTGATCCAGATGATCACAAGTGAACATTTTTACAGCACATTTATACAGATTTAAGTAATTTTACCATCATAATCTTAATAACATCAGATGTGATGGTTGTGTCAAAGCTCTGCTAAAAGTACCCACCTGAATGATCCACTGGTCCACTGAGGACACAATGGTTTGTGGTCTTCAGCTTCTAACATGTTTTTATATGTGAGGAAAAGAAAAACTTTGGACACAGCAATTATGAGAGATGAAATGTGAGTACAGTTGAGTACGTTTTTATTTATATAATGTTTATTCACAGACATATGTCACAAAGACACTTTACAGAGCATTATTCATTCACTCCAGACCCAGTGATTGTAAACTATTATAGTAGCCACAGTTGCCCTGGGGCAGACTGATGGAAGCGCAGCTGCCAATCTGCGCCATCGGCCCCTCCGACCACCACCAACATCACTGATGCACACACCACTTTCATACTAGGCAATGTGGGTGAAGTGTCTTGCCTAAGGACACAATGACAGTTTTTGTGACTGGCCCCCCGCTGTGGCTCCTGATTTTCCCAGTGTCTCCATCCAAGTCCTGACCAGGTCCGGTCCTGCTGAGCTTCTGAGATCTGACGGGATCAGGCTTTGATGAGCCGGTCTGGCCACGACGGGGAAGTGTCCACTTTTTGGTCAGAGTCTTAAACCTGCAATGCTCTAAACTTCTAGCCTGATTCATTAGTCGTTTTCTCTTTGTAGAAACCGTCTGACCTCGCAGCATTACGATTCGTTCACTTGACGATAGGCAGGTACTTTTTTTATTTAACCAATCACTGCTATTTGGTCATGACATATGTAATGCGCTGCTAACGGAGCAAACTGGTATATTAAGCTTTTCCCAAATCCCGTAGGAAGAAGGACAATAACAAACCAAACATTCTCTTTATTCTGGCTCTAAATCCTCGATATCGGGAATCGTTGACAACACAGAATGTATGGCTCTTCGCTGATTGGCTGTTGCCCAAACTCACACTTCTGGGGTTCTTGCAAACCGTCTAGTGTATTCCGATTCCTGACCTAGTCGCTGGAGAGAAATGAAATTGAGCGGAGGCACTAGGTGGTGCCAGCTTAGCTACTAAACTTTACCCATAACCTTATAAAAAAAAGACGCTTACCATTACCAGAACTCTATAACAAGGCTCTGTCCATAAAAAAGTGGAGGGTGAAGTTGATTCGTCCCTCAGGGTGACTCTGCTCTGTTAATGTGTCTGAAGGTTGGTTTGAAGATTTGTCTTTAAATTCTAACCTTTCAGCTTTGTGGCGGTGAATTACTTCACGATGCACAGACCTCGACGCAGATCCCTAAATCAAAAATGATGGTGACAAGGCGATGGCGGCAGTGTGCGTTGAGTCAGCGCAGAACTATAATTGGGTCTTGCTGAGTTCCATATTTGGAAATTCACTAAAAGCTGAAGAAGAAGTTTGCAGAGAAACACCTCATAAGCTCCTTTTGCTGAAAACTCAAACATGTAATCAAGCCTCAGATCGGGTTCTCTTGGGTCACTGATGTAGAGCACCGTAGACCAAAGAACGGGCACGGCACACAACAGCAGCCTGCGTCCAGGCAAAAGTGGGCGATTTTCATTAACACATCTTAAAGTTATAGTAATATTTGCACTGTGGGACTCTTAACGCTCTGTAAATAATGACGAGGGGCTGCGTCTGTCCAGTGATCGTCCTGGAGAAAAGCTCTGATTGCCCTCCCTCGATTTTTACCATCCCTGGGACGACGGGTTAGTCTCGTGCCCTGGTAGTATTTGTAGTATTTGTAGTATTTGTGTAGTGTTTATTGTTATTTGAGTCCTATGTGGCAGCAGAGGTGCAGTATCAGCGTGCCACGGATCGCCGGGTCTCTGAGTCCGTACACGAGGACGCTCAGACACTTGGGCAGAATGATGAGAAAAATGTAGAGCACTGTCTGCATGTTTACAAAGACGAGCCACGGCAGAGTGCGGTACAGCGCCATCATCAGGGAGTCGTGGAAAGTGGACGCGACCATCAGGCTGAGCTGGAACAGGTGCAGCAGGAGAGTGGTGCGAGCTTTGCGCGCAGACGCCTGCAAGAAACCAGACCGAACAGAGCAAGTATGTCTTAACTTCAGAATATCTTTGTTTATTGTGACCTTAGGGGCCTTTTTTTATTTCAATAAATAGATAAATAAAATGACCAAGGCCACGGTTAGTATGTGAAATAGAAAGAGCAGAGACGTGACTTAAATGTATACTGTATTTTCCGGGCTATTAGATGCCGACTGCGCGCCACAATCCAGAGCGCCCCATACACGAATCAACGACTTCAGTAAACTACAAAGCCGCACCACCCGCAGAACACACAAACACACACAGTGCAGACAGCGACCGCACAGCGAAACACACCCACAGACACACTCATCACTCCACGCCAACGAGGAATGGAACGGAGGAACGAACCGAAAAAGCGAGTGCAATGTGCCACTTCTAGACACAACTGAACAACTGAGTCACTGTGAACACGCCGACAATCCGTTGGTCCCAGACAGCACCCTCCCTACACGCCACAACTGAACAAAGCCCAGAGTCACCGTGAACGCCACAAACAAACAAAACCACTCACCCATCACACTGCTGGGTTTCATTTAAAGTCCGGTGTGGTTTATTTGTGAAAAAGTTCAAAAATAGACCATTTAATGACAATGCACCTTATAATCCAGAGCGACTAATAGCCCAGAAAATACGGTAATTAAAATGTATTAAAAGACTAAAAGGGATGCAAGTAGAAAAGTAAAATAATTTATCATATAAAAGGAGCCAGGCGGAGGGTTACAATGATAAAATGGTCAAAATTCATAAAATGTACTAAAATAAGGATAAAACCTTGCAGCCCCTGGGTAGAAGAACCAAATCTGAAAAACAGAAATAAATGTTACAACTTAACCAAACAAGGACAACTTGAGAGGGGGCAGCCCCACCCAGAAAAAAACAGAAAGCGCCACCATGCAATCACAACTAAATAACTTAAAAACCAAAGTGCAAACAAAAAGGTACGGGCGAAACCCCTTCCAAGTACGACCCGGGAACTTAAACAAACTCAAACTAAAAAATAAAAGCCCAGGGACGGCAACGATAAAACACACTTTTACTAAAAAGTTGCAGTAGAGCTAAAATACAAAGTTTAACACACAATACCAAACAAAACAAAACAGTAAATGGATCAAGACAGAAACAAAACAGTAGGAGATCAAAATCCTACAATGAAAGGACAAACTAGAATTAAAAACTACCTCTCCTACCTTAAGTTTCAATACACGGGGGGAAAAGGTCTGCCTCCGGTATAATTTTAGCTCTAACGAACAATAAAAAACGATTCAAAACAGTTTAAGAAAACGCTAAAATAATTAAAAAGGAGAAGATTTGACTGAGCCTTTGCCACGCAGGATATTTAAGGCCGACCTCCGCTGGCACAAGAAAAAAAATAAAGTGCATCCCTGCTGTCCGCCAGGTTATGTCATTGACCTCTTTGAGAACTGAACGTTTGAAAACTGAACTTAAATGGTCACCTGGTCAGTGGAGAGGGAGCACGCCGCCCTTATCACAGCGGCGTAGGACCCAGCGATGGAGAGGAACGCCGCGAGGAAGAGGGAGTAGAGCAGCGCCTCATCAAACAGTCTGGACTGAGCGGTTGGGTAGAGAACCAGACTGCTACACGTCCGCGTCATCTGCGGCGAGAGAGGGTCACATGACACCGACGCACAAGGACTGGGCAATGGTGAGGCAGTACATCACAGTTTTACATCAGTCAGTGGCAGTTTGAGATTGACTGCCGCTGTGTTTTTTTTTACGGGAAGTAGCACTGAGTTCTAAAAAATAAGAATATCAACACAATGCAGGTGATATTTATCCAAAAGTGACACATTTTGCTGACAGTTTAAAACTTAACTTGATGGTTTCTAGGCTGCAGTTGCGGAATTGCCTTTAAACAAGTAGATGTGTTAGTTCCAGAGTAGTTTCAGTGTAGTTAGCTCCCCCTGCAGGCAGATATAAGGCAGTGTCCACCAGAGTCTGACCAGAACTGAAGATGCAGCTTGGATGAACCGAGAAACGTATTCGACCAAAATAAACTTTTGTGATGGTTTCTGGTTTAGTTCCCGTTGAGGTTTGGTTTAGACCTGGTTTTAGACCTGGTTTTAGTCCTGGTTTTAGTCCTTGGTTTAGACCTGGTTTACTCTTGGTTTAGACTTGGTTTTAGTCCTGGTTTAGACCTGGTTTTAGTCCTGGTTTAGGCCTGGTTTAGACCTGGTTTAGACCTGGTTTAGTTCTGGTTTAGACCTGGTTTAGTTCTGGTTTAGACCTGGTTTTGTCCTGGTTTAAACATTGGTTTAGACCTGGTTTAGTTCTGGTTTAGACCTGGTTTAGTCCTGGTTTTGTCCTGGTTTAGACATTGGTTTAGACCTGGTTTAGTTCTGGTTTAGACCTGGTTTAGTCCTGGTTTCGTCCTGGTTTAGACATTGTTTTAGTCTTGGTTTAGACCCGGTTTAGACCTGGTTAAGTCCTGATTTTAGTCCTGGTTTCGTCCTAGTTTTGTCCTGGTTTTTGTCCTTGTGTAGTCCCATTTAAATCCTGGTTTAGTCCTGATTTTAGTCCTGGTTTAGTCCTGATTTTAGACCTGGTTTAGTCCTGGTTTAGTCCTGACTTTAGACCTGGTTTAGTCCTGACTTTAGACCTGATTTAGTCCTGGTTTAGTCCTGGTTTAGCGGTGTATACAAGGCAAAAAAGGTGATGCTCCAAACTATGAGTAGGTGTCAGAATGGCAACATAAAAAAGTGTCAGAGTGGAGGTATGTTGGAATAAGGATTGTACCTCGTCCCTCACATCAAATAAAAACATTAGAACAGTGCAGCACAACATGTGGTGAGGTGCGCTCGCTTGGTAAATTTCATTTTAATGACTTGGATAATATTTAGTTTTCAGTCCGTCCACACGAAAACACGAAACGCACCTGAAGAAGCACGCACCTGTGAGTTCAGAGCAGACACGGCGGACGGCGGCAGCATGTAGCCCAGCCGCACCAGGATCATGATGAAGGTGAAGGCCCAGGTGGCGAGACAGGCACCGACGCTGTTCCGGGGCGTGGCTATGGCGGCGTGTCGCAGCGGCAGACACACGGCCACGAAACGCTCCAGCGACATCAGCACCAGCATGAGCGGCGAGAAGTCGTGCGAGGCGTGAGTCATCAGCACCAGCAGGGCGCACAGGGGGAAGAACAGGAGCACCCGCACGTTGGCCAGGACGAACAGAACCTGCGTCAGGACCATCTGCAGGGTGTCGGCGAAGAGCAGGTGGAACAGCAGCACGTGACGGGACGCCTCACGGAACACGGCGCGGGAACGGAGAGTGTAGAGCATCATCAGGTTCACCCAGAGGAACACGAGGCAGAGCAGGCAGACCACGGAAGCGGAGAGGGCGCGTTCCAACACGGACATGTACTGCACTGTAGCGGACGAGTTTAACGATGTCATGGATAAACACGCCAAAATGCAGAGATTAATTGTGCCAAAGTGTAACAAAGTACGTCATATCTAAGTGTTCAAAGCTTTAGGACACTCTTTCATACCTGGTTTAGTCCCATTTTAGTCCTGATTGTTTTTCGTTTGCATTTTCATAATCAAATCTTTAAAACGATATTCCCATCTCATTTGCTAATTGTGTCCGTCTTTTTAGTCCTTAAATTAATAATCATCAATACACTGAACACATTAGGCTTTAAAAATAAATAAATGAGGGAGATCCTAAAATAAGAGCTGCTACTTTAACACATTCAACGTGAAAATGTCGTCTGCACTGCAATCAACAGATTCAAAAACGTGACAGAGCTCAAAATCAAACCTGAGCAAAGCGAGACCTCGGGCCCTCCGCTTAAAGAACCCGCCCCGAAGTACCCGACCTGAGCCTGAGGAGAGGCTTTTAAAGGAGTTTGGTCACGTGAATGCAGTGATGTCACATAATACAATGTTTGTTTTTTTTCTAAAGTTATTTACAAGTTACAGGGGCATTTTGGACATAGGGCCTCATTTCCTAGAGACGTGTGGAGACACTTTTTAAAAATATTCCATCCAGTCCTTGTATTTGCAGAGGTCTTACCCAACTCCACAAAACACCCGAAGCAAATCTGTTATTACACCAGACTGTCCATGTAAATGTCTGTCGATAGAATCATTTTAGAAGTAAAAGCAACCTTGCATTTGAAGGATTTCTGTCTGAGCAGCAGCAGTGAGTTGTTCTTCCTGACAGAAAGCTCGGCAGTGGTGGACTGATATATGAGAAAATAGTCCCTCAACATGCGACCATTCATGCGATGCAAGGTTAGTTTTATTTCAAACATTATTCTGTCAATACAGACATTAACATCGACAGTCTGGTGTAATAATTGTTTTGCTTCGGGTGTTTTGTGGAGTTGGGTTTGACTGTTTTTAGTGGCAGGAGTCTAGCACCAGTGACCTCTGCAAATACAAGGACTGGATGAAATATTTAAAAGAGTGTCTCCACACGTCTCCAACACTCTGGCTCACGAGGAAATGAGGTCCTATGTCCAAAATTCCAGACTGTCCCTTTAAGGCAGGGGTTTTCAGCATTTTTCAGGCCAAAGACCCCAAATTGATGGAGAGCCCTACTGTATATGTGCCTTGCAATTGGCGTTTTTATATTGAACTGGGCCTTGTGTTGTGTATAAACAGCTGCTCTGTTATTGTACATTCAATACTAGGCGGGTGTTTCATCGAAGTTGCTGAACAAGTCCAGGCTTATCCTGAAATCTTGAGCTTCATCTCCAGATTAAACTTTCCAGAACTAACTGAACAAAGTCCAGAGTCACCGTGAACGCGACAAACAAACAAAGTCCCACTCACCCATCCAACCGTTGTGTTTCCTTTAAAGTCCTTTGCGGTTTATTTGTGAAAAAAGTTCAAAAATAGACCATTCAATGACAGTGCACCTTATAATTCAGAGTGACTAATAGCCTGGAAAATACAGTATATAAAAAAGTCTAAACAACCTAAGATTTCATGACCCCCCTGTTGGAGACCTAAGAGTTAAGGTATTATTAGTTAAGGTATATTTATTTTATTATTGTTTTTAGATGAACAGATCATTTGTTCCAATTTCTTAATATAGCACATTTCTAGTTAGGTTAGGTTAGGTTCGGTCGTTTTATTCGTACCCGTAGGTAAATTTGTTTTGCAGATTTGAGAGGCAGGTTCCACATTTCACATTTTATTCATCCACAAAACCCATATAAAAACACAATTACAAAATAAAGTGTTACAGAGCTCCAGTGCAGAATGGTTTGTTGCTTAAACAATTAGTTACATTCATCCATCACACTTGGCTAAAATCACAATAAATATTAAATATGTTAAAAACACACAATCTTAGATAAATAGATTAAAATTGATTCATAAGTACGACAGCAGCCGGAACGAAGCTCCTTCTAAAACGATTCGTTCTAGATCTTGGGACTAAAAGACTCTGACCAGAGGGAAGCAGCTGAAACTCTGAGTTTAGTGGATGTTTCACGTCTTTTATAATACTCTGGGACGTCTTCTGTAAGTGTCTCGAGTCCAGAGACTCCAGCGGCTCTGAGGATGAACAATCACCTACTCGCCCATTTAACCGACTGATTCAGGGAGTTCTTGTTTTTAGCAGAAATGCTCCCAAACCACGAGACCAATGGAAACATTAAAACTGATTCCATAAATGTTTTCTAAAACAGTGTCCTCATGGTTCTGTCTACACGGTAAAAGGAAAACTTTCTCAGACAGTGAAGGCGCTGGTGCCTCTTTTACACACACCAGAACAATTATCATCAAAACTCAATTTTGAATCAATGAGTGTTTCAAGATATTTATATGAATCCACACACTCAACTGACTGACCTTTTATCTCTGTGACGTCACACTGAGGCGCTCGCTTTCGAAAATCTATAATCATCTCCTTCGTTTTGGACACATTTAGGTGCAGATTTGACTCTTCACACCATTTTACAAAGTCCTCAACAATTGGCCCATGTTGGTTTTCATTTTTGTGAAGCAAGCTCACAATGACAGAATCATCCGCATATTTTATTATTGTTCTATTCTCATAACTGCTCTGACACTTATTGATGTACAGTGTGAACAGCAGGGATGAGAGAACACATCCCTGCGGTGATCCGGTTGATGACACCATCTGGTCAGAAAGGACACCATTCACTCTTACTCTTTGTGTTCTCTGTGTTAAAAAATTAAGAATCCACCCCACAATACTAAAATCAAGGCTAAAATGTTCTAAAAGTTGACTAAAGTAATTTTCATGTCTAGTTGCCCACTTTTAAGGGGCTTTCACACATACGTCATTTGGTACTTAAAGCAAACTCAGGTTCTGAACTCCTGCCAGGGTGATGGTTCTTTTGGTCTGGACAAAAGAACCGTCCAAGTTCCAGGTGGGCTCCAGTAACGTTCTGTTGTGATTTTGTACGTTAAGTCGTCTCAATCGATGTGAAACATGTTGCCCCCTCCCTTCGTAAGGACCCTCCCCCCTCCCCTCACCTGGTCTTTGCTCAGACTCGTGGGCCGTTTCTCGAGTCTACTTCCGGGTACAGACTTGTGGGAGCAGACTCAGAGAATGGACTTGAGGAGTTCACAAGCCCACACTTGGCTCTCTCAGTTTATGGAACAATTGGACTTCCTCACATTGTTAAAAATGGGCCACGTTTAGGGGAACTGTTACAAATAAAATCATCAGCTTGACCCCACGGCGCTGTTGAGAGTCTTTCAGAGAGAACCTCTCTCTGAAAAATACTTGTTGATCTGACTTGTGCAGGTGAGCGATGAAATGTGAATAATTTATAATAACGGGGGAACATACCAGTTATCAGTCCTAATCTTAAACCTGCAATGCTCTAAATGTATCCATAAAAGTTACCCGTTTAACTTTGACTTTGTTTAGTTTGTTGTAATGACTCAGAAAATAACCAAGTGTTGCACCCAAAGTTTAAAGTTTTGTTTTTGAAAAGAGAATTTAGTTTAGTTTTTGAAAAGTGAATTTGGTTTGTCCCAGAGCTCAAAGTTTCACATTTAGTTTTTGAAAAGTGAAGTTATGGAGTAAGAAAGCTGTCAAAAATATTTGTGCGTGTAAAATAGAAATCCGTGCGTATTTGGTAAATCCGTGCATATTTGGCTGTAGTTCCGCATAAAATAAATATTTGTAAACTCTTAAATGACTCCAGTCGTACATAAAATATATTGTGTGTATTTTATCCATCAGAATACGAATTGAAAAATTACGACGTCATGAATTACAATCACGAAATGAAAATTTACGATTACGCTTTCATCAGTACGAATACGAATTCACAGACGGAACTTTACTGTCAAAAATACGTCATCACTTCACAGACATTATTCATCGAGCAGAAGAAACATCGATCAAGATCAAGACTGTGCAGCTCAAGTTTGTAGCAGAGGGTAAAAACAGAGTAAAAGCACAAGAAGCTACAACAGCGACCAACAAGTGGGTTAATTAAAATCTATTGTAAAAATGTCTTGAATTCAGGAACCGAACGCTGCTGTATAATATTGTGTAGAAACACCTCCTTTGAACAGGAAATTGCACCTATATGTTAGAAAACATAGTGGAGCCAGTTGGCAACATCAGACGTAACGTTATCCCAGGGCTAATTAGCAAATATCAGGTTCTCTGTATGTTTAGATTAAAACATTCACGACTACAGCCACAGCGAGCATCAGTCAGTCTTCACTTCAGCTGCATTTCTTCGCATGAAATGCCACCAAAAGTTCCTCGGGACGCTGAAATGTCCCAGTTTACCAAACACCAAACTGTCCTGGTTACGACGTCACAGCTAATGAAATGTTACACATTACAGTTTAATGCAGCTTCCAGCATCAATTAATGTTCGTGTTTACAGGCAACACCTTGGTATGTTTACAGTATTTACCGGTAAGTTTAACGTCACCGTGACGTGGATGGATTTGCTCATTATAACCCATTATAACTCATGTATAACCCATTATAACTCATGTATAACCATTATAACTCATGAAAAAACCCATTGTCTGAAATGCAGCTGAAGGTTCAGACTGACTGATGCTCGCTGTGGCTGTAGTCGTGAATGTTTTAATCTAAACATACAGAGAACCTGATATTTGTTAATTAGCCCTGGGATAACGTTACGTCTGGATGTTGCCAACTGGCTCCACTATGTTTTCTAACATATAGGTGCAATTTCCCGTTCAAGAGAGGTGTGTTTCTACACAATATTATACAGCAGCGTTCGGTTCCCGAATTCAAGACATTTTTACAATAGATTTTAATTAACCCACTTGTTGGCCGCTGTTGTAGCTTCTTGTGCTATTACTCTGTTTTTTACTCTGCTACAAACTTGAGCTGCACAGTCTTGATCTTGATCGATGTTTCTTCTGCTCGATGGATAATGTCTGTGAAGTGATGACGTATTTTTGACAGTAAAGTTCCCGTCTGTGAATTCGTATTCGTACTGATGAAAGCGTAATCGTAAATTTTCATTTCGTGATTGTAATTCATGACGTCGTAATTTTTCAATTCGTATTCTGATGGATAAAATACACACAATATATTTTATGTACGACTGGAGTCATTTAAGAGTTTACAAATATTTTTATATATATTTTATGCGCAACTACAGCCAAATATGCACGGATTTCCCAAATACGCTTGGATTTCTATTTGACGCGCACAAATATTTTTGACAGCTTTCTTACTCCATATGAAGTCGGTTTGTCCCAGAGCTCAAAGTTTAAAGTTTAGTTTTTGAAAAGTGAAGTCGGTTTGTCCCAGAGCTCAAAGTTTAAAGTTTAGTTTTTGAAAAGTAAAGTCGGTTTGTCCCAGAGCTCAAAGTTTCACATTTAGTTTTTGAAAAGTGAAGTTGGTTTGTCCCAGAGCTCAAAGTTTAAAGTTTAGTTTTTGAAAAGTGAAGTTGGTTTGTCCCAGAGCTCAAAGTTTAAAGTTTAGTTTTTGAAAAGTGAAGTTGGTTTGTCCCAGAGCTCAGGGTGGCGCTGCTCTGGGGCTGCGTCTGGAGGGTTTGTACCTGGAGATTGTGTCTGTGTCTGGGGTTTATGGAGCTTTAATATTTGATGAGGTGAAACTCTGTGCATTTTAGATGAAGTAATAACAACAAGAAGTCTTTAGGGAACAGACTGAAGAACAAACACATCAGACAAACTTAAACTTTCTCAAACAATAAACTTGAATGATGTAACAGGACGTAAAAAAACATGCAAACTCTACGCAACAATGAGAAACCGGTGTGTTATGCAGTTTTATACTATCCACTTACACATTATACTTATTATACTTATCCACTTATGAGCCTCATCATTTTGGTCTTAAAATGTTCGTATTAACCCGCTCTACATGACCCTGGTGTTTTTATTTCGCTCTTTTGTCCATTAAAAAAGTCTTATTCATAATATAGAACCTGCCTCCAGATTTGGCCCTGTAACCGTCAGGATCACGATCTTAGTCCACTTCTTTATACTGTTTATGATGAGAACCTCTTCACTGTCCATGCGTATCCAAAGCATTTCTTTCCGCTCTTTTTCTTTCAATTTGTGCATGTCCCTGCAACATTATAGTGAGTATTGGGCTGTAATGTTAGCTGGAAACGTTTACAGTACTTGCATTTATGAATGAATGAATGCCTTTATTTGTCACATTGTGTCTTCACATATACATGACAGACAAAGGAATTGAAATTGGACCTGTCACTCCATCCGCACATTTACAAATATATAATACATGACATGGAAGTACTAGACATGGACCGGAAAGGGAGACAGGGAGCAGGTGAAGAAAACAATGCAGCATAACGTGAAGATAGGGAGAGGAGAAAAAAAGAGAACAGCCACCAGACTGTGTGCCTTAACTGGGACATAGTATGGAACAAGCACAACCACAAAAAAAAACAAAAACACCTCCGTTACATCAGAATAAAATCAAAACACAGTACAGACATAAGGACTAAACTTGCAGCCGGGGAGAGTAGGGGAGTGGAGCTGACCCAACGTAGGCAGCAGCCATCCGGATCCTGCAGCCTCGTGGTGCTGGATACAACAGAACCACCTGTTATGCTGAGGGGGCGAAGCTGCAAAGGCGTGAAGGAAGTGTGGGGAGGAGGAAAGCCCCTCCCTGCTCCAGTCTCTCCCGGGCGAGTTGATACCAGCCGGTCTTGGCCAAGACCAGTGCTGTCTGGGGGAGGCCAAGCAAATAAGAATTGGGTTGTTTGGATCGAGCAGCTGTGCCCATTTCCACAAAAGCTCTGACTCTTGGTCTCAAGGTCTGGTCACCCTCCTCTGTAAAGCTTTCAGTCTCTGAGATATTCTCAATATTGAGCTCCAAGGCCAAAGTCCCATCCAATCTGCGGTCGATGGCCGCTAGCCTTTCGGTGATGTTTTCCAAAATGTGGTGCGAGGCAACCGAACCTTTCATAAAATGGTTCGTAGTCACAGTTTGAGAATTCATAGCTTTACTTTCCATTTCATTCAGTCCGGGCAGCCAAGTGGGGCCTTGAACAGCCGCCTCCGTCATTTGAACTTTTTGAAAAATCAGAGCCCTGCCTAATTCAATCAGCAAAATACCTGTTATCATGGTTCCAAATAGGTAAATATCTTCTATGTCCGCCAAGGAAAGAGCCACCAGACACAAGGACGCACCACTTCTCCCAGCCGACCACTGTGTAGCTCGCCGCGTAAGTTCTGGGGGTGGGCACCCAGGTTCACCCGATCCTGAGCTTCTTGTTCAGAAAATGGTGTCAGTTGCGTTTAGAGACCAACTTATCAAATCCATAGTTAATTTAGGTTCGGAGAGCAGAGCGTAGAGAGTCTCTCAAAAGTATAAGACACTAGAGTAAACGAGACAGAGAGGCAAATCAGAAGATAAGATAAGACAGGGACCGAAAGGAAAGAAAACACGTCCACCCTCACCAAGAGCCAAGACAAGATCTACCACTATTACAAAAGATATTTAGTGGAATTAGGTTAAAAATAACCAATTACATAAATATAAATAAAACTGTAACTTTGTCTTTCTTTACACATTTAAATGGCATTAAAATACTGAATTGTGGCAGTACAGTTTTTTAAGATAAACCCACTTTAGACTCGTAGCTCTTAATTCTAGATGTATAAGTGATGTTGGAGAGGCTGTTGTGCCAGAGCACCAGTGCCGCTATGGTGATATAAATGTACAGTATTACCATCAAATAATGTGGAAGGAACGAAAAGTAAAACCGTCTTTCTCGGCTTTACGTGTGTTTGGGTAAGTTAGTGCTCTGTGTTCCGCAGCCTGCAGCTCAGATGGGCCCAGAGCGCCGGTCTGAGGGCGGGGTCACGAAGCCTGTACGTCAGAGCACTGAGGCAGCGCGGCATCAGGACCACGCAGATGTACACCACCATGTGTTCTTCATGTCGCAGCACCTGGCCACTTCCATAGACACGTACAAGTGCATGACGGACAGGAGGCTTAAACCCAGCTGAAACAGGTGCAGGAGGAGGGTGTTCCGGGTCCTCTGCGCCTTAGCCCTGCCCCCCGACGCCAGACACGCCACCAACATCACCGCCACGAACAAAGACACGATGACCAGTGCTGACAGGGCGAACAGGAAGCACGAGTAGATCGAGTAATAGACTCTAGAGCTAGAGCTAAGTAATATGGCTTCTAAAATACAGAACTGTCTCATCTGCAGGTCCGGAAGCTCGTGAAACGGAAACTCGAGTATGAGCATGACTTGGATCAAAGTGCTTAAACAGCAAACAGACCATATCAGAAGGATGGAAAAGTAGGTGTTTTTCAGAGTGACAATAGTGGTGTGTTTAAAGGGCAAACACATGTCGACAAAGCGCTCTAAAGACATGAATAATAACGTGTACGGAGAGATCTGGTAGGCCAGGTTGGAGATCATGGAAAGACTACCGCACAGAGGGTAGGACAACCAGATATTGTATATGGCGAGGAGGTATAGAGTCTGGGCCTGAGCGATAAGCACTGTGTCGGCGAGCACCAGGTTGAAGAGCAGGACGTACCGCGGGCACTGGGAGAACGCGGGTTTACTGCGCAGGACCAAGAGGATGGTGCCGTTGATGACGAGGAACATGCAGGAGGGCGCGGAGGTCACCATCGACAGCAGGAAGTGCGTGGCCAACTCACTGGACGAGAAGAGAGAAGAGGAGTTTGAGCCGCCTTCCATCTGTCGGACTGAAAAAGAGACAACATCAGAACAGCGTCGACCACCGTGGGCTCCTCTTGCTTCCTCAGCACCGTCTTTGTGAGAAAGTTACCATATTTTCCGGGGTATTAGACGTGCTCTTAAGCCTCTAACTGCATCAAAAAACGATTGCGCACCCCACAATCCAGAGCGCCCCATACACGAATCCACTCGGGTGTCCCAGCACGACTTCAGTAAACTACAAAGCCGCATCACCCACAGAACACGTAAACACACACGGAGCAGACAGCGACCACACAGCGAAACACACCCACAGACACACTCATCACTCCACACCGACAAGGAACGGAACAGAGGAACGAACCGAAAAATCGAGTACAATGTGCCACTTCTAGACACAACTGAACAACTGAGTCACTGTGAACACACCGACAATCCGTTGGTCCCAGACAGCACCCTCCCTACACGCCACAACTGAACAAAGCCCAGAGTCACTGTGAACACCACAAACAAACAAAACACTCACCCATCACACTGTTGGGTTTCATTTAAAGTCCATTGTGGTTTATTTGTGAAAAAAGTTCGAAAATAGACCATTCAATGACAGTGCACCATATAATCCAGAGCGCTTAGTAGCCCAGAAAATACGGTACAATAGACAAGAACCTCAGAAGTTGTAGACCGCGCACCGGCCAATCAGTGAAGAGCTGTGAAGTCATGATGTCAAACTCGTCGCGTCTGTCTGGGTCCCTTTTGTAAGACAGCACAACAGTAAACAAAGGTTTTAGATGGATGTAGATGAAGACAGACATTCTGTGTTGACTGAGATTCCCGAGATCGAGGATTTAAAGCTGGAACAAAGAGAATGTTTGGTGAATTTTATCAAGGGGAAAGACGTTATTGCCCTTCTTCCTACGGGGTTTGGCGCATTACACACATCACGACCAAATAGCAGCGATTAGTTGAATAAAAAAGTACCCGTCTACTGTCAAGCGAACAAATCCTAATGCTGCGAGGTCAGACGGTTTTCAGAAGTGAAACCAGCTGATGAATCAGGATAATTCAGCATTGGAGCTCTGTAACACTTTATTTTGTAATTGTGTTTTTATTCTTTTTTATACTTTATTGTATAGAATATGGATAAATGGAATGTGAAATGTGGGACCAGTGTCTCCAATCTGCATAATTATAATAATAATAAAACCACCTAACCTGTGAGTCGATATTAAACTGAGCGATGTACGTGGAGGATAAATTACTGTATTTTCTGTACTATAAGGCTCTCTGGATTATAAAATGGTCATTAAATGGTCTATTTTCGAACTTTTTTCCACAAATAAACCACGTGGGACTTTAAAGGAAACCCAACAGTGTGATGGGTGAGTGGTTTTGTTTGTTTGTGGCGTTCACGGTGACTCTGGGCTTTGTTCAGTTGTGGCGTGTAGGGAGGGTGCTGTCTGGGACCAACGGATTGTCGGTGTGTTCGCAGTGACTCAGTTGTTCAGTTGTGTCTAGAAGTGGCACATTGCACTCGCTGTTTTGGTTCATTCCTCTGTTCCGTTCCTCGTTCGGTGTGGAGTGATGAGTGTGTCTGTGGGTGTGTTTCTCTGTGCGGTCGCTGTCTGCTCCGTGTGTGTTTACGTGTTCTGTGGGTGGTATGGCTTTGTAGTTTACTGAAGTTGTGCTGGGACCGAGTGGATTCGTGTATGGGGCGCTCTGGATTGTGGCACGCAGTCATTTTTTGATGGGGTTGGAGGCTTATGAGTGCACCCTATAGTGTTCCATCAATAATTAAATTCATCCATCACACTTGACTAAGATCGCAATAACATCACAAGAGGAAAATTCATCTTGGCCAAGAGTCCCAACGGCTGCAAATGCAACATAACAAACATAAGCCTTTGTTCAGCACTAGTCTTATTTTAAATATATAAGGAATTTAAATATTTGTTCATTTAACTATCATGGACTAAACATCACACAGCTCCATGGACTGACTGAAATTATATCTTTGCCATGAAAGATGATTACAAATGGGCACAGTTTTAATTTTATGAATGGACTATCTAAGAATAACCTGCAAGTTACGTGTATTTAAATAGTTTTTCTCTTTGTAAATATGTGAATGTTGAAATAAAAAGATAAGTTTTGTTGCTTTATGCACATTCCCTCTCTGCCACATGAATAAAATGTGCTATTATTGGTGCTTTTTATTATTATAATTATTACAAAATAAAGGCAGGACTGACCGTAAACTAATAAGGTTAATTTCACTCCAAGGACTTAGGGCCTGTTTACACAAGAACGCTTGCGGGTAAAAATGACAGAACCTTTTTCGGAAGTGGCTTTCATTTAAACAGTGATGGCGTTTTTGGGGGCTTAAAAATGCAAAAATCTGAAACCACCCTCCAGGGTGGAAAAGTTGAATACGCTCTGCCGTAGTGTTTTGCGTCTTGGGCAGTGTAGACGAAAACTCTGGTCAGATCTGCTCAGGTCACGTACACGTTTACGTCACAAACATACAAACATGTCAGATTATTTCCATGCGTCGGACAGAAGGAGGCTCCCGACAAATGTACAGAATCTGCAGAGATACTATTAGTGCACAGAGAAGGATCTGCAATCACCTCTGTCAAATTCTGGATGCACCAGTTCGTCGCAGGCGAGACAGATGGATACGGACGAGATCTGGCGAAGCAGTCGACAAGGGACGAGGGACAACTTTGTGGAAGGAGTAGCTGATTAAAATGCGTAGAGTAAAAACTTCCGTCCAAAAATGCGAATTCCACACACTTTTGCATCATCAAATGCACGCAGATTTCCTCCCAAAAACACTCATCTAAACGCAAAGTCTAAACCAGGTCAAACTACTGCAAACTTGCACAAGCAAAATACAGCATACGTACCTACCGTACCTACCGTCTGAGCAGCACTGGATGCACAAAGCTGCTCTGAAGTGATGACAAAAGTCATTGAAAAACAGTGATATTTGTAATGAAAGCTCTAAAGCCACAAAAGTACATATAGTTTTAAAGTTCCATGAGTCCTGCACCATTTTAAAACACTTCACCACAAGTGACCTCACTGCTCGCCGCCATTTTGTGTCTGATGTCAACAGCATGAGTCTAAATGATGCCTTCAGGGACCCGTGGCCCTCAGAGTTTCAACTTTGTTTTGGAGCAACACATGGACTTTGGTGTTTTAAGTTTTATTATTGGTATACAATTCTAGATCCAGGTTCACTGAACACATCAGGCCTCTGTGAGGTCGCTCCTAAAAGGAACAACAACATATTATTTTTATTGCACTTCTCAACAAATTAAAGAAACTAAGGCCTCGTTTACATGTACACGGGTATTTTTAAAAACTGAGACATTTCCCTTCGTTTGTACCCATCTTTTACAGGCAAACGGCAAATTCGCCTCTGAAAACAAATCTTTCCAAAAACTCTGGCTAAAGTGGAGATTCTGGAAAACTCCAGTTTCACGTTTGCGTGTAAAGTGAGATAAACGGAGTTTTAGGAGCTGACGTGCCGTAAGTGCGACCAGTGTTTACCTTTTGCTATGATGATGACAGTGTGCAAAATACAAGGGGTGCGGGGGAAAGCGAGAACAAGCTGTGGACTACAGGTCTGCTCCAGTTCTCCGTGTTCGACCGCGGCTGGTTCCAAGGTCTGGACAGAAGCGCGAATCCCGTTTGGTTCGTTATATGTTGTTCTGAGCGGTTCATCTGTGCACATGTTTTTGTTTTTTTTCCTGGGGAAAGCACTTCTCAGGTGGAGGCACCGGACACCACTCCCCACTCCAGCTTATCTATTTGTTCTGGTGCAAACACTTTTCATATGTTTGCATTTGGACACACACCTGATGGATCATATCCATGACCAGAGATGAACAAGGGCTCGGAGGTCAGTGATTTTACCACTTCTTTAACATATTTGTGGAGACGCAAGCCCGCTCACTAATGCATGTTTTTCAAGGTATTTTTGAGTAATCCTTACAACTGTAATGACATAAATGCAACAGGTTTGAATTTAATCCAGGTGCCACCCAGAGGCTCGGTGTAGTTATGACGGTGCTCGATGGAGGATTTATGCGGGATGATGTAAATGAGAACTTTTTTGAAAACAATGCTGTGTGCATGATGTTATTTTGGAAAACAGAGGGAGGGAAATATTTGTTTCTCAAAATACCCAGCTATGTCTAAATGTAGTCTAAATAAAGAATAAGAATATGGGCCATATCAATGGATGTAGGAGACACTGGTAAAAGGATGGGTTTTTGAAAATCAGTGAGTCGGTTTCTGTAATGTTCTAGGGGTCCACAAACCCCGGGCCATGGACCAGTACTGGGCTGCGAAAGTGCAAACCACCCCTCCCATATGATGCACAGACCATTCCTTCTCGCATGCGCTGCGTGGACTGCGCCTCCTCCCATGTGTAGTAAATATAACAGAGCCACACCAAACCTTAGATGAAGTACAGTTAGATAAGGATGACCAGATGTCCCTGTTTACCCGGAACAGTCCCAGTTTTGAGCCCTGTGTCCAGTGTCCAAACAAAAACCAAAACCAGTGATTTTTTTCCAGTTTGATACAAGAAATGTCCCCGGTGTCCCTATTTTTGACCAATTTGATCCCTGCCAACAGTAAGGAGAGGGATAAACTGTCAATTGTTTTGGTAAAATATAGACAAGCTGCTTAAAACGACCTAAACATGAAGAAAATGTGACTAGTCATGAATAGGCAGAGTACAGAAAAGTTTTTTATTAATTATGCACTTCTTTTACAATTTTATTATTACAAACCACCTCAAACCAGGGGTGTCCCAGTTTATGATTTTGAAAATCTGGTCACCCTATGTTATGCCTATAAAACATAAACCTTTATCCATGTATTAGTGTACAAAGTTAGGCATCAATGATATGGACAATGGTAAATTTAATCAGGTTTTACTCATTCAGTACAATACGTGTAATTCAGAAATCCTTTGGCGAGCTACTAGGAAGGGGGTGGAGAGCTAC